ACAAAGCCAGTGGTGTCCTGGATTCAACAGCTTAGCTGTGACCCGCTCAACCCCCTCTGACAGTGTGCAACCCAGGCCGCCCAGAACTCCATTCCTTTCCTCGTCCAGTCTTTCCTTCTTCTCTGTCTCAGTTCTTCATCTGTGGTTGGCAGAAGTTCTGTTTGATTCTTTTTTTACTTTTTATTTTTTTTACCTTTTTATTTTCATTTTTTATTAAGGTATTATATGTATACATATCTTCCCATTGCCCCTCCCACCCCACTCCCATACATGCCTTCACCTCCCAGTGTTTTGCATCCATTGGTTGTGCTTATATGCATGCGTGCAAGTCCTTCTGTTGATCTCTTATCTCCCCAACTTCTCCCTAACCTCCCTGCTGTAATTTGACAGTCTGTTTGATGCCTCTGTATCTATCTTTTTGTTCATCAGTTTATAATGTTCTTGATTCTTAACAATGTCCTCCTTCCTGTCAGGGTTGGCCCCCGTCCCTCTGAAAGTCCCCATTGGTCCTTTCCTCCCTTTTTGGCTCCACCCATCTGAGCGTGGCTTCTTCAAGCCTAGCTTGTCCTCCACTCTCTGCCATTTCTGGGTGGTCACTGACACATTGGTGCTCAAGGCTTGCCCACTGCTCTCTCTGACCCTAGTCACTGCTGATAAGAATCCCATTCCCCCTATGGGAATGGATGCTGACAGCTTGGTGGAGGGATGGGGCTGTGTTGATCTGACGTACCAGGAGGGTACAGTGGGACCCGGTCTGCCCTGGAGCAATAAAGTGTGCTCCAGATCCTGAGAAGAGGGTGCTTCTGGAAGCTGAGGGGGGCCTAGGCAATTCGGGTCTGGTTCAGTGGCTGAAACTATAAGGCAAGAAGCTGAAAGAAAATCAAAGGAGGGACATCCCACGGAAATGGGATGTTAATGTCTTTCATAGTGTGCAAAATGTATGTGTATGTGGGTGAGGTATGTTGCCATGGGACTAAACACTGCCTTGTGTTAGAGGGGGCTCTAGGTTACTTCTCAAGTAGGCTTGCCAAATTTAGCAAATAAAAATGCATGATGCTCAATTAAATTTGAATTCCAGATAAATAACCTTCCTGTATAAGTATATCCTATGGCAATGGTGAATCTAAAATTCCATGCTAATTGTGCATCCTGTATTTTATCTGGCAACCCTGTTTTCCAGGACACTTTGTAGTGGGTCTGGGACTGGAGTCAAGTGAAGGTGTCAAATTTAAGAGAGTATAAAAAAATCTTAACTGTTAAGACCAGAAATATTTTTTTAAAAATTGAAATCCGCAAACTACAGCCCACAGGTCATCATATGAATGTTAAATTCTGGCTTTAACATTTTAATATTGCTCATTGTGGAATTCTTAACATACATTTTTACTTTTAAACCAGTGTATTAAAATATTACTTATTTTGAGTACTGATTTTTTGCCCCCTCCACCTTAAATTTTGCATCTTGCCCTAGTCCTAGTCCCAGTTCTGCTTTATAACAGGGGAAACTGAAGCAAAGGCATAGGCAAGTGCATAACCAAGGCTTGTTTTCCAGTGTCCAGATTATCCATAATCCAATCATCAAATCATATGTCCTTCTAATTTTTTCCTTTCTGCAAATCCCTCACTTTTCTCATGAGCCTACTGGCTCCTAGAAAGCTGGGGCCATGTCGTATTTCCAGCTTGCACCTAGCACAGCTGGTTCCGGGTAGGTGCTGGGTACACACGCATCGAATGAAACAAGAGAGAAATGTCTTGGAAAGTGGTAGATGCTGTCTGGGGTCAGTTATCCAGGATCCTGTCAGTAATAGAAGGAAGTGTTTATTTTCCATAGCATTTGTAAATATGTTGTTGACCCCTCACTCTACAAATGGGGTGTCACATACATACTACTTCCTAATAATTAAAATAATAGGTTTGTTTGATTTGTATTTTGTTGATTCTTTCACATTTGTTTCTCACTGGAGCTGAAGGGATCTGCACGAGAGGCTGGGATCCTGTGAGAGCAGGTGGCAAGGCAGGGGGGGGGGGAGGGGGAGGGGTCAGGGAAGTTTGGCTTAATGTGATGAGACCCATTCTGCCCTAGAGTGCTCATGACCTCGAGGAAGCAGAAATTCAGAGGTGAGGTGACTTCCCACAGTATCCATAAAGGACATCAGTTTCTATAATTCATCCTTCTTGTACTAAAAGCACCCAAATCTTCCTCTTGGGAACCACATCTCCCACTCCTGGTCCCTGAAGTTAAATTGTCTCAACTCCATCCTCAGCCCCCAGATGGACATGAAAATATGCCTGGCCAATCTGAGCATGACTCCCTCCTGGCACCAGATATTGGATCAGGGATCGGCATATTTGTGCCATAACAATGCACATTGGGTCTTCTGTCCCTTGCATCTGGGAGAATTTTTAAAAAAACATATTTTATTGATTTTTTACAGAGAGGAAGAGAGAGGGATAGAGAGTTAGAAACATCGACCAGCTGCCTCTTGCGCACCCCCCACCGGGGATGTGCCCCGCAACCCCCTTGACCGGAATCGAACCTGGGACCTTTCAGTCCACAGGCCAATGCTCTATCTACTGAGCCAAACCAGTTTCAGAACATCTGGGAGAATCTTGATGACATAGTTCATCACCACCTCTACCTCCTTCTCTTAAGTTGGACTTGCCACTGATTCTGGGTTCTCTGAGCATCTTCTCTATAGCGTCTGGAGTAGCCATGCCACCCAAGCTAACAGAAGATGTGCTAATTAGGTCACTGCTCTTGGGTTCTCCATGGCCAGTAGGCGATCTAGTGGCCTCTTTATGTCTCTCATTGAACCACAGGCCAACATGGGCATTAGGCAGTGTCTATCGTTTTAGACTCAGGTGACATGGATGCCCTGACCTCAAAGAGAAGTGAAAAGCCCCAACTTCACATCTCAACCAACCAGATTCATTCATGGAGGGTGGTGTGTGCGGTGGGGTGGGGAAGGAGCTCTGGAGTGAGGCATTGAGCCCTTTGGTTCTATCCTGAGACCACCCTGGGAGACACCCAAGGTCTTTCTTCTCCCCCTGCATGGGCCCTTGGGTGGCCCACTGTGTCTGATGCCAGAGGGGTGTCTTGGCAGATGATTCTAAGAATAACTGTCCTCCTCCAAGAATTGCTGGACCAGATGCTGTGTGGCCTCATCTGCTTTCCAGCTTCCACATTGTAGGATCAGAATTCTCGGTCCTATCATCTCCAGGTCAAAACTACTGAGGCAGCCTAGTGCAATAGAAAGTACCAAATCCTACTCTCTGTGCCTTGAGTGTCCCCATCTATACCCTGGGGATAACGTCTCAAGCATCTAATAGGGATGCCTGCCTCCAAACCAAAAAGTTAGGATTACTCTCAAGTTCACCCTCTACAAAAACCAGCACACTCTGCGGTGGTCACTGTGTCATCGCTGGGCTAAAGCTGGGGTGGGATGGGGGAAGAGTCACCTCTAACACCAGCAAGCGAGGACTCCCCTGCTTCAGGGGGTTGCACAGAGGTTGGTCAAGTGTTCAGGACCTCTGTATATTTTCTGATCTCATCTTGGAACTTAAAGCTGGAGAATACATTGGCCTTCAAAACTCCAATGATCTGAGAATCCACTGGTGGAGTGATTTCTGGGGTGTCCTAGTCCTAGGAGCTTTGAGGAGTCAATGGGGGCTGTTGGCAGCCTTGGCCTGGCCTCTGCTCATTGGCTGATTGACCCTGGGCAAGCTGCCTGATATCTGGGCTCCTCTCCTTTTCTCTCAAGTGGGGCACCTCTCATATCAACATGGAATTTGTCATTATCCCCTGAGGCCAGTGACTCTCCCCACTTCCCATCTCAGCAGGTGGCATCACTGTTCATCCAGCACCCAAGCCACATACCTGAGTGCCATCCTTGCTCCTCCCTCCACCTGCAGCCAGTTAGGTGGATTCTACCTCCCAAATACCTCCAGAGTGATCTCATTCTCTCCATCCCACTGCTGTTCCCCAGCCCAGGCCATCTGGGCAACTTCCAAAGTATCATCTCCAGTGCCCTGCCTCCAGCCTTGCCCCTCTGATTCAGTCCCACTCAGCCAGAGGCAGCCCTTACAAACATGGAACCCTCCTATTCCAAACCCCACAGTGGTGCCCACTCTCCCCACTGTGAACACTGTGAAGCTGCCAAATGCCTCCAAGGGCTGCAGGGAAGGCCTGATGGTCTGGTTCCGCCTACCTTTCAGCCTTAACTCCCCATTGGCTGTCCCTCCTCTCTGTGCTCTCAGCTACCCTGACCTCCACAGGAAATGCTCATTCCTGTATTAGAGTCTCTGCTGAGACACAATGCTCCCCCACCCCACCCTTCCCCCCATCAAGAACACCTTCTTTGATCCTGGGGTGGGGGGAGGGGGGAGGAGAGGGGAGGAAGCCCCTCCTGTTACAGCTCGCAGTGCTTTGCACATCTCCATGGTAACCTCCCACTTGTAATGACTGTTTCCAGGTGTGCAATCCCCTCTGCACCCTGAGCCCTGAGAGAGCAGGGCCTTGCCCACCTTCTTCACTATCAAGTCCCCGCATCCTGGTAACCACTGCAATGGCAACGCATCCCTGCTATGGCAGCCGAGCCCCAGAAGTCATTTCCGTTTCCAGTTCAAGAACAACCAGCGGCGGTGTGTCCAGCAACTCTTGCGTTTATTGGAACCTGCTTATCCAGCAATCCACAAAGGAGCTTACACAGGGGTGATATTTAGGACTCTTGTGACCTAATCCTGGGATTATCATGGAAGGCCTGGGCTGGTGGGCAGGGGAGGGGAGGCGGCGTGATGGGAGGGGCTCTAAAGACAGGGAAGGAGGAACCGGTAGATGCTAAAGACACTTCTGTTGGGCAGGGAGCTGTGCTGTGGGTTTGGGGGCCTCTCTTGGCTGCTGGGGAGTGTTTGTGTGCATGCATGAGTGTGCGCGTTCACGTGTGTGCATTCGCGTGCTTACGTGAGTGGTAAGGGGAGGCAGGAGAGCTGAGCAGTTGGCATCAGGGGTTCTTTTCCTTTTCCTTTAGCCTTTCCTTCACTTTTTGAGGCTCAAATTGGATCAGTCGCAGAATTTCCTTATTGGCCAGGGTCCCCTCGATGAACTCTTCCTCCGTGAGTTTATCTGCGAATGGGAGACAGAAACCACTGTCAGGACTGGCTGTTTTAAGCTGCCCCAAGGCTGACACCGCCAGCATGCCCCATGCAGATGTGTCTATCATGAAAACCTTGCATCACAGCGCCCCAGGATACTCCCAACCCTGCCCCAGATACCCAACTTGAACCTCCCCATGAACCAGCAATGAGAGGGTTAATGGCTGGCACTACAGAGGAGTCCAGGGTGCATTTTAGGTACGCTTCTCTTCTGATTGGTACTGCCCTGCCTTGCTGGTTATTAAGTATCTTGAGTGTTAATCTAGGTCCCGGCCTCAAGTTCTGGAAGAACTTTTGGGGCATGAAGTAGAGCAAACAGTTTCCACTGAAAAGGAGGGAACAGCATCCACTCTAGAAAGGGGAGTGGAAGTTGAGGGGTCAGGGGGGTGCCAGGGAGAGCCTGGCTGTGTGAAGAGGTTTCTCTGACCCGCCACCCCAGCACATGGGCAGCCTCATGATTCTCAGCTGACAGCTCCTCCATGATTCTTCCCTCTGCATCTCCCATCCCCCTCCCATGTGGGACCAGGGAGTGCCTCGCCCAGCCTCTGGATTCAGTTCTGTCCAGCTCAATGCTCTCCACCAGCTGTTCCTCTGAGCCAGAGCCACTGTGCTTGGGGCTGAGGTCACTTCAGAGGGTGGAGGGCGGGGTGTGGCGGAGAAGGAAGTGTCGTAAAGTCCCTGGCCCCAGGAAACTCTCGGTCTGCTGGGGAAGACAGTCACATGTGGAAATAACTCTAAGATGAGACTGGTGCTCTTTCAGATCATGCTTATGCTCAGAATTGCCTGCACGTAGTGGGTGGCGGACCCGAATTGCACGCCCATTAGCTTAGGTTCCGGGCCTTTCCAACATCCTTATCTTAATCCTGGATTAGGACCCAGCTGGTTTCCTGCAGGTCGAGGTGGGGAAATGTAAAATCCAACTGCCTTGTCAGCCTCCCAGAGAGCCTGGAACTCTACCATCAGAGCCGAGTTCTGGAGCCAGGCCTTGTCCCACGTGGGCACGTGGAAGGACACACACACACACACACACACACACACACACACACACACACACACGCCACCACCTGGCAGGAGGGATAAGGTAGCCCCCACCCAACCTCCTCCTGTGACGGTCACTGGGGTCGGCTTCCAGGGGAGAGGAGGCGGCATGATGGGAGGGAAACCATAGACACGAGACCCGGCTCACTTGGGACCCCATGCTAATTCCGATGCAGCCTGGGCTAACGTTTGCTCTAATGCTTAGAAAGCGTTTTTGGAAAACAAGCGAAGCAAATCCCCATGTCTAGGAGCCGGCCGCCCTCTTAAACAGAAAGTGCCTGGGATTCCTCTAACCTTGGCGTTGGCATACACACGTCTAATGAGCTATTGCCTTTGCTTCTTCCCGTTGCTTCCGTGTGGCTGTGTGAACCAGAGCTGTTTTTCTTAGAAGCCCTCCACCCCTCCAGCCTTCCTCCCCCTCCCCACGCTCCTCCCCCCCACCCCGAGACTCCCAGGCAGCTGTGGGCCGTGTGAGCCCGGGGGGCGCCATCCCCATCGCAGAGGCAGCTCCACGGGGAGCAGGGCTGGCCCTGTGGCCTCTGTCCACTGCGCGGAGCGAGGTGTTCCCATCCCCCTGGACACTGGCTCTGGGTAGGCTAAGTGTTGGTGGGACCAGCGGGAAACAGCCGGGACTGCACAGCAGAGCCACGGGGGAGAAGGCACTCACCATCGTCTTTCTTCCCAAAGAAGCCCCAGATCTTCTCCGCTCGCTTCTCAGGGGTGTTCTCATCGTGTGGCAGGTGCTTGGCGTCTTCGGGGCTGATCATTTTGAATATTGCCTGCTCCGAAGCAAGGGGAATGGCTGGTCAGAGGAACGGCCGAGGCTGCAGCCCTGGGTTAGAGCGCGGGTCCCAGGCCCAGCCGCCCTGTCAGTCAGAGTTCCTGGGCGGGCGCCTATGTTTCTGAGACCTCCAGCTGGATGGGGAGCCCGGGGGTGGGGGACGGGAGGTTGGGGGAAGGCTTTCCCTTCTCATGTGTCCCTTTCTGTACTATTGGCATTTCCTGACCATGCAGACATATGACTTCCATTTTATTTAAAAACATGGAAGAAGCTTCCTGATGTCATCCTGTGGCAGCTCGAGGCTGCGGTTTGGGAACCGCTACCTTGAACCCACTGCCTGGAAATTTTAGAAAATCTAACAGCTTCTCCCCAGGTCCCTGTGGTACCGGGTTGCCCAGCCGGGTTGCCTAGCAAGGGCTAACATTTGCTCAACACCTAACATGTGCCACTTTTCTGAGCATTTTATTTTATTTAAAAAAATTTTTAAATATATTTTATTGATTTTTTCAGAGAGAGGAAAGGAGAGGGATAGAGAGAAACATCGATGAGAGAGAATCATCGATCAGCTGCCTCTTGCACACCCCTTACTGGGGAGGTGCCCGCAACCAAGGTACATGCCCTTGACTGGAATCGAACCTGGGACCTTTCTGTCCGCAGGCTGATGCTCTATCCACTGAGCCAAACTGGTTTAGGCTTTCTGAGCATTTTACAGGTAACCTTCCCAACCTTATAAGGTGTACATGTATGGACCCCATTTTATAGATGCAGAAACCGAGCCAATTAACGTACTGAGCGTCATGCAGCTGGAAACAGAAGAGTAGAGCTTCTGACCCAGGCGCTTTGGGTTTAGTTTGCATCGTGCCACTTGTTAGCTTATGCCTCTCGGAGCATTTCAATGGCTGGGGAGGGGAAGGGGAGGCCTCAACAGGGTTTCCGAAGGCCTCCCAGGGCTCAGGACACCCCTCAGTTACCCTTCTGTGCAGGAAGGGACCTAGAGGAAGGCTTAGCTTTAGACTCAGGAACCTTCTCACCTCCCTCCACGCTAACAAAGGAGCCTTGTGTGTGCATGTGTGATGGGGTAAGGCAGGAAGTGCCTCTGCACCTGTGGTCAGGGAGAGGGACAGGTAGTCTCCAGGGGCCCATCCAGGTCTAGGTCACTAGGATCCCACCAGCTCGGTAACTCCAGGGCTGGCCAGGCCCAGAGAGGACACTCGAGGTCAAGGCCCTAAGCCTGTCCCAGCCTGAGCCCTCAGCCTGGGGGCAGCCTCGGGTGCAGGCAGTGTGTTGGGTGGCAGTAGGAAGGGCACCTTGGGATATGGGAGCGCAGCAAGGCAGCGGCAGTAATGACTATAAATTAGCCTGGAGGGGAGGTCAACACACTAAGTGCCCTTAAAAGCTCTCTCCTCCCTCCCCCTATAGCAAGGAGCAAGGAATCAAACCAGTAGCTGGGGAAGCAGCCTCAGCTGGCAGGTGCCCACAGTCAGAGTGGAGGTGACTGTTGACTCCTCTCCCTGTCCTGAGCGATGGGAACCACGTGCAGGCTTGGTGGCTAAACACTGGGAGGAACTGGCTGCCTGCTCCATCCTGCTTCCAACACCGAGGACAGACTGTCTGTCAAGGCCTCAGTGAAAGAACTGAGAAGGAACCAATGGATGCTCACCCTGAGAGGTTACATGGTTTTCCAAGGCCATGAAGCTAGTTGGTGGCACAGCTGGGACAAGAATCTGTAATTCTGGCTTCCAGGCTAGTGACCTGGTAATCTGGTGAGTGGCAGAGCCTTGGTATCATCTTGACTAGCCTCAGCCATGAATTCCTCTCCCCACTCTTTTCCCTTTCCCCCCTTTCTTCCCCATCCCCTTCTTCCTTATTTTTTTTTCAAGGAGCACCAGCTTGTAGGCCCCGGCTAGGCCTGGCATCCTTTAGGTGGTTCTGAGGATGTGGTCCCCATCCCATGCCACCTGCCAAGCCAGGGAAGTGTGATCCAAAGGCCCTGCCCAGTGAGGTTCCCACACATGCCTGCCCTTGACCGGAGGCCCAAGTGGAATCCCCTGGCCACAGCAGTGTGCTCAGTTATTGTAGTCTTGCTGGTGCCTAACGAGGGAGGAAGAGCTGTGCAATGAAAGCAGGGTTACAAAGTCATCAAAGTATATGAACCATGGAAACAGTCTCTGTCTTCATGGGAATGTCATTAGAAAAATATAGCAAGTGGCATGAGGTAGAGGGATAAAAAAAGATTGGGTAAAAAGATATTAAATGAAGGTAAATATAAATACTATACTAGGAAAAAATAGAAACATGCTAATTGTTCCAAATTTAGGAATGGTTACATAATTTTATGACATTTCCACAGATGAAATTCTAAGCAGCTATTAAACATGGCTTGGAAGAATGTATACTGATATGAAAAACATTCATCATAAAATAGTAGCTGAAAAAGGTATAAAACCCTATGTGAATATGTCATAGCTCTAAACTTAGTTTAAAATATACAGCTAAAAGGATGGAAATGTATATACCCATACATTGATCATTTTCTCTGGATGATGAAATTAAAGGTCATTTTAGCTTCCTTTTGTATGTTTCTAAATTTCATGAATTACTTTTACATTAAATAAGACTATTTTCAAGTTACTTAAAATCTTCACAACCGATGTGCTCCCAGGCTGGCTAGGATCGGGGTGGAGAATGGGTGTGACAGGCACTGGCCTCCCCTCCCAGGGGCCTGAGCATCCCTCGGTTGGTCCAGAGCATGGGGATGAGGAGCTGAGGCTCCGGGGAAGGGCCATGAAGACAAGCAGAACTGGAACCCAGGTCTCATAGTCCCCCTGCCACCCCACCCCCATCCAAATACACACCACCTCCTCCTACTGTGTATCTGAACCATGTCAGGGAATCATCTGACTATGCAGTTGAAGGTATTGAGGATATTTTAAAAAAACAGAAGAAGTTAGGAAGGAAGAAGGAAAGAAAGAAGGAAGGATAGAAGGGGGCGGGGGAGGAAATCATAGGAAATACCCAGATTCTTTTTTAGCAGGAGAACGAAGCTGTGGGAAAATGCCCAACCTTCTGTTCATCTCAGTCTATGAGACACCCCTCACCAGGCTCTCAGAGCCATTGGGTCACAAGGCCTGGGCCCCATGCTCCCCCCAGGCCCTCCCCCAGCTGCACCCTGACCTGGGTGACCCCAGCCCTGCACGGGGTAAGTGGGGGGAGGGGAGAGAGTGGAGACTGACCATGACGATCTCCAGCACCTCGCTCTTGCTGATGGCCCCGTTGCCGTCCACGTCGTAGAGCGAGAAGGCCCACTCGAGCTTCTGGCTGGGCTGGCCGGCCGTGGTCATGTGCAGGGCCACCACGTACTCCTTGAAGTCCAGGGTGCCGTCGCTGTTGGCGTCGAAGCTGCGGAACACGTGCTCGGCGTAGGCCTTGGGGTCGGCGTCGGGGAAGAACTTGGCGTAGGTGCCCTGGAACTGCTGCCGAGTGATGCGGCCGCCCGGGCACTCCTTGAGGAAGGACTGGTACCAGGCGCACAGCTCCTCCTGCGTGAACTTGGTGCTCAGCTGCAGCTCCTCCAGGATCTCCCGGGACAGGGCCCCGCTTCTGCTGTTCCCCATGGGCGAGGCGGCGTGGGTGCCGGGGTGGGTGCCGGGGTGGGTGCCTGGGTGCGTGGGAGGGAGCGGCGTGGCCTCAGGCCGCCGCCCGACACAGACCCACGGAGATGCTGGTGGATTAGGAGGATTTGCGGCAGGTTTACCCAGTACTTGGAGGGAGGAGGGGCCCAGAACTGGGAGGAGAGGCAGCCGAGCTCTCAGAATCGCCCTGAGATTAAAGTAAAGAGCTGACTGCAGGTGCCCAGTCCATTCTGGCCTCTGGGAGGACAGGAAGGGAGGTCAGACCCTTCAGAGCCCAAGCCTTGGGCCCCTGGCTCCTCCCTCCCCACCCCCAACTCTGGCTCTCCCAGCGCAAGGATGTCCCAGCCTGCCCCCCGCCCTAACTCCGAGGGTCTCATCCTTCACTGAGCCCTCCGGTGCAGGGACTAGGCTCAAGAGATCCCCTGGGTTCAAATGCCAACTTTGCAATTTGCTAACTGTGTGACCTCAGGCAATGTTTTGTAACCTTTCTCTGCCTGAATGCTCTTCTCCTAACTCTTCCTCTCCTTCCTGGCTTTCCTGAGCTGTCCCCTCAGCAAGGCCTGCCCTGCCCACTCTATTTGCAATTGCACACCCCACCCCCACTCCTCAGCGGCCCCAGATTGTTTACCCTGCTTCATTTTGCTCCCTCCCCCATACACCTTCTGACTTCCTCTTTACTTATCCCATGTGCTGCCTGTCCCCTCCCGGGAATGAAAGCCCCTTGGACGGAGGAGATCTGTCTTGTTCCCAGCTGCCTCTTCAGTGCCGGACTGTGTGTGCCTGGCAGGTGCAGGCCTTCGCTGAGTACTCCTGCAGTGAACAGGCCTGGTAATAGATTACAGCGTCTATGTCATTGCTTTTGTGAGGCTGAAATGGGTGGATACGTGCAACAGACTTAGAACAGAGCCTGGCACATGCTGAGTGCTCAATACATGCTAGTGTTTGTTATTATTCACTTACAACAGAGTGTACCTACAGGAGCCAGCAAGGGGAAGGAGGGAACGACTGGATCAGGGAGACAATAGGGAGGGGTGAGGCCTGTGTCACAGACGGGAGGGCTTGCCAGTGTTCTACTCCATTTGAATGTGGTCATATGGGATTATGGCCCCGTGCTTATCCAAGAGAAACCCAGAAATCAGACTTTTAGATGCAATTTCCAAACTTTTAAACTTTGAGAGTCACTTCGAGAATTTTACAAAACATGGTGTGGGCCAAATACAACATCTCTGAGGTTCAGTGTCAGCTCGCAGGTTGCCAGTTTGCCCCCAGCCTGATGCCTGGGCTGGCAGGCACCACGTGCTTGTGGGGTGAGAGGATGCATGCACGGGAGATAGGGAGCTTTGCAAGGGGAGCCTTCACATCTCTGCGGTCATCTCTGTGGTCGGCTCAGCCACGAGCACAGGACACAGGAGGGGCCCTCGCGGGTGTGTTTGGCACCTGACTTCTCACCCCCCAGAGGGGAGGTCGGCAGCGCCCTGGCTTGGCTGAGCCTAATGCTGGAGGGGAGTGCGCCTGGAACCTCAAAATTGCCAGATTGGATGGGAGAGATGTCTCCTCTTTGCAGGGGCTCATAACTGCAAAGAATGAACCCCACCATCTCCAGGCGGTGAGTTAGGGTTTGCACCCTATCCCAACAGGCTAATGGCAGGGGCCAGCGGGTCCCTGCTGCTGGGGAAGCCACCTGCCAGGCCCACCCCGCATGCTGCTTAGGAAGGACCGAGAAGTTCAGGCACCTCCTGTCCATGCACCCCCTGTGGCTCCAGAGTGTTTCTCAGGAGGCCTTCATGCTAGGTGTGTGTGTGTGTGTGTGTGTGTGTGTGTGTGTGTGTGCGCTCATTATTTCTTATAAAAGCCCTTTCTCTCATTCTGGATTTCCCTGTCCTGTAGCAAGGCATTTGTTTTCAGAGCAGTTAGAAGCAGGACAGTCACTGCACTAGAAAACAAACAAACAAAACCCAGGCCATGTACGAGGCGGAGGCTTCATACCTGACCTCGGAACCAGGTGAGAGAGGCGGTGAGAAGTGCCTCCTGGGCCCAGGCTGTGCACACCAAGCCTGCCAGTGAGGCCAGGCGGGGGTTACAGGGAGAAACGGAGCTCCCAGGCGCACCCTGCCTGCCTGGGTCACTGGGGGCTAAGTGGCAACGTGGGAGGGAAGCCCAGGTCTGCAGGCTCCCATCCAGGGCTCTTCTGGAGACATTACCAGGGCCTGAGCCCAGGGGGCAAGAATCTCCATTTCTATAGGTAAGGGGTTGCCATGGCAACAGAAGATGTGGCCAAGGAAACAGGGCCCTGGGTTAACACAGAGGTAGCTGGAGCCACACTCCCTCTAGCCCCCGACCTCTCTGCCCTTTCCAAGGGCAAGGAGGAAGGAGCTGGAACCGGGTCGGAGGCAGCCTGGCACTGGCCGCATTCTTCAGGTTGCTGTGCCCAGAGGGGCTGGACCGCTGGAGGGGACCACAGGCAGCTGTGTTGATGCTGCTGAAGGAGGGGTCATGACCTGGAGGTTTGTTTGAAAACCTGCATAAACATCTTCTATCAGAGGGAGAGTTTACGCTCCTTAGCCAAACAAGTTGTTGGAGATGATGTATTGTGAACGGATTTGTTAAGTCTGAGCTGGGACCGTAAACTCTCCCCGAACCCGAAGACCACTGGGGAGAAGGCTCGTCTCCGGTCAGTCTCGGTGTGTGTCTCCCCGGGCCTGACCTTGACTGCAAGAAGCAGGCTCTTCCCAGAGGTTGGCCCTGTTCGCACCCCAAACCAGGAGCTGTCTTAGCTGTTAGCCAGGGCCCAGCCTCCAGGTCCCCAACCACCATTCACTCACCTTCTCCTGCTCTGAGCTCAAAGACAACATGACCTTACCCCTGGCTTGTTTCATGCACTGTGTTCCCAGACCCAGGACAGGGTAGTGGGTGCTCAATAATATGGCACCAAGTGTGGAAGGGATGGATGGATGAGACAAAAAACTAGAGCCAGCTGAAACCGGTTTGGCTTAGTGGAGAGAGCGTCAGCCTGCAGACTGAAAGGTCCCAGGTTCGATTCCAGTCAAGGGCATGTACCTTGGTTGCAGGCATACCCCCAGTAGGGGGTGTGCAAGAGGCAGCTGATCAATGATTCTCTCTCATCGATGTTTCTAACTCGCTATCCCTCTCTCTTCCTCTCTGTAAAAAATCAATAAAATCTATTAAAAAAGAAAGAAACTATAGCCAGGAGCCCCTTGTGTCTGCAGGGCTAAGTCCGACCAGGAGAGTGGCCTGGGCTGGGGGCCAGGTGTGTGGGTATGGCAGCTTGGCACCTGTCTGGCGGGCCAATGCCCAGGTGCCTTTTGGCCCTCTGCTAAGTCCTCAGGAGAAAACTTATTACTGATGCTGGGAGCCTGGAAGAATGCGAAGACCCTTTGTAAAAGGACAGAAGGTCGCGCTCCAGGAGGAGGCTCACCTAACGAGACCAGCGTCACTGGACAGTTTATTTCCCATGGGGTGACTCTGCGCATCTCAAGTGTCCACCCAGAGCCGAGGGAAAAAGATGGGAGAGCATTTAACTCCTGAAAACGCCTTATAATAACGCAGAGCAATTATATATAGCAAAGGCCTTCAAAATGGAAACCCTTTAAACATTTAATTCTTCAGCATTAATATACACAAATGCTATTACGAGGGGCGGGAAGGGCACCCCCATAGGGGTCGGAGTTTCAACAGGGTTACTTATAAATTATATTACATCGATTTTATTTACCCATCTAGGCAGCCAGAGGGGAAGGATATACAATTCCAAGTAAACACATTCATACCGGGATGAGGAATGCTGGCAAGAGACACAGCTTTGCAACATTAGAAATGTATAAAGTATTTAGCAAAAGTTACAGAAAACAGACCAAACAAGCAAGTTTATTTTGTTAGAAAATTCCACCTTCGTCGCGTTTGTGATGTGCTCGTGTCTGTGGAGGGACCGCTGTGCCCCTCCGCTCCCTGCCTCCTTCCTGGGGGCAGGGCAGAGCTGCAGATGTGGGGCCCATCACCCAGGGGGGCTGGTGTCCCTTTGAACATCTGTCCCTGGGGCCACACGGTTGTCCGGAGGCCCCGGCTCCCGAGAGCCAGGACCCCCAATGCCGTAATGACGCTGGAAGAGAGCGTCTCCCTTGTCAGATGGGTCCACAGAGGTCCCAGGAGGGGAAGTGATAACTTCAGGTCCTGGGATAAATGAGACAGCAGAGCAGCTAGTCCCATGCTCTTGCCCCTGGGACCTCTATCCCAGGGTCACACTGTCCCCAGCAGAGCACCCGTGTGCCGCACCCTTTGCATTCACCCTTGCAATCCCATCGGGAATCTCCCTGAAACACAAAGGATCAATGTCCCCGGAATGGCGCCCAGAGCGGTCCGAGGTGGTCACAGCCCCTCTGCCTCAGAGGCACCTCCCAGCAGAAGCCCCGGAGAGCCAGCCCAGCGTCTAGATGGTGGGGGGAAGGGGAACATGCTTTGTCACTTGTCTGAGTCTCACCCCAACCTGCAGCCATAGGAGCTGGGTCCCTCCCTTCAAGAGAGGCCGGACAAAAATAAGACTTGCTAGGGGCCGGGCGGTGGTGAGGAGTCCTCCCTGGCAAAAGGCAGCCCAGGCCTCCAGCAGCGCAGACCGTGGCTTCATTACAAGGAGCCTGCGGGCCTGTGCCGGCCTGGCCTGGACTCAGGGTTACTAGTTTGTCTGGCTGCCTTCCGTGGCTCACCTGTCACTGAGCAGACTGTGATCAACACAGGGCTTGGAGGAGCTGTCACCGTGGGGGTCCTACAGAGGAACGACCTCATTGTCCATAGCTCACAAAGCTCTTAATTGTAGCTTCATTTGTATCTAAACGGAGGCATGCCGGGGTGTCCCTCTCGTGAGGATTTTAGGTAACACCAAGCACCACTGCGCCGATGGGACCCAGATTAGGTGTGGCCATGTGTGCAGGGCACAGGATTGGGAATGGCTCGTAGGAAGATAGGCTGTAGTAACTGCAAAAGGCCTGAGACCTTCTAGAATCATACCCTCGGTTTGCAGATGAAGCAGATCCAGTAAAGGGCGGTGAGGAGCCCAAGGCCAGTCCCTGCCTTCTCATCCATGCTATGCCCATTCGCTTTCCCTCCCTTCACCCCCAATGCTCAATAAATGCCAAAAAGGACTGTGCAAGCGGAGCAGACGTGAGGGTCCCCAGGAGAGAGGGACCTGCAAGCTTCAGGGCACAGCAGCCGTGGAAGGCAGCCGAGACCCCGCCCACCCCTCCGCCCACTCCCTGGCAACCTTCTGCACTGTCTAATCCTGGCATGAACCAAAAAAGGCAAGCGTGAGCCTCCAGAACTACCTGTGGGCATGGCTGGCTTTTGGAGGAGGAGCCTGGGGCTGGAAGCAGCCACGCAAACAGGCTGGCTCAATAACACCCAGCCGAGTGAGAGAAGCCAGACGCAAAGGCTACACAGAGTGACTCCGTGTACACAACCTTCTGGAAGAAGCAAACCATAAGGTTGGAGAATTAATCAGTGGTTGCCAAGGGCTTGGAGTGGGAGGAGTGGCTTGACTCCGGGGCTCTGGGGGAATTGGAGTGATGGAAAGATTATGCTGATTCCAGAGACTATCTAAGTTTGTCAAAATTCACTGAACGAGTATCCTTCAAAAGGGTGACTTTTCCTGTGTGTCAGTAACCCTCCATCCTGAGCATCAAATACCTCAGCAAACCTGGGAAAAAGGAAAGGTGGTGCGTCCTGTGGGGTGGGAAGGACCAGTGGAGTGAGATGGGGTGTTGGCTAAGTCAGCACGCCACCATCTGCACCCCACGTAGCATTTGTGAAGTGCTCCCCCTGTCTACGCGGTGACAGCAGGCCTGCGGGATCCGTGTCGATGCCCTGCTCCACGTCCAGGCCTTGGCCAGCTGGGAGCAGAAACCCTTAAACACACCGAGGCCTGTGATGCCTTTGAATTTTATGGCTTGTGTTTCCAAGAAGAAACTTGGGCTCAGCCAAGAGTTTTCTGCACCCATCGCCTCTCTAGTAATTGGTCAGCTTTCACACGGGGAATCAGTGGCTTCTGCGGCTTCTGCTTGGGCATCCTCCGGCCCCAGGGGCACTGGGTAGAGGTGGAGGAGGCCCGGGTGCACCGAGACAGAACCTCAGGACAGCCACTCCCGTGGTTCAGTCGCCAGGGCTTTGCAATACTGATTAAAAACAAACAAACAAACAAACAAACAAACAAACAAAAAACACGAGGCAAAAAAAACAGAGAGGGACCGGTTCCTTTTCCTAGCGGTTGTCATGGCAACCTGCTCACGTTGAAGACCATTGTCATAGAGAATTTTTTTTTAAACCGGGTTTTCACAGATAAAACTTAAGTGAAGGCAGGTAGAAGGGGCTCACTTGTTTCCAGAAACGAAAAACCCAGACTCACTCACCCTTCTGAATATACCCAGTGAAATCCTCTTACAACCTAAACAACCAGGACATAAGCGCAAAGAAGTGACCAGAGAGAGGGTTTCTACCCTGACGTGCAGGTTTAGATGCTCTGGACTTCATCCTGACCTTGGCTTCACCCAGACTGCAGGGGTGGGGGTGGGGGTGGAGGTGGGGGGCTGCTGACAAGAACAGGGGGCCGGACTGTCGACTCCAGCTCTGCTCTTCATTCAGTTTTAATTTCACTGGCCATGCTTAGGCTTCATCCTCTTTGTAAAGTGAGGAGTTATTTAAAACAAAAAAGAAATCTCAGACCTAATCAGTTTTGCTCAGTGGTCAGCACGTCAGCCTGTGGACTAAAGTGTCCTGAGTTCGATTCCAGTCAAGGGCATGTACCTTGGTTGCAGGATCCATCCCTGAGCCCGGTTGGGGCATGTGCGGGATGCAACCAACCAATGTGTCTCTCTCACATCGATATTTTCCCTCTCTCTGTCTCTCCCCATTCCTTTCACTCTCTCTAAAAATCAATGGGAAAAAAATATTCTCGGGTGAAGGTTAACCAGACAGAAAAAAGAAATCTCAGAAATTCAAGTTGGATATGGGCTGGGAGTCTAGTGACTAGGGCACTGAGCACTTGTTGCTGTCTATCTCCCACCAGTTGGGTAAGTGCCATATGACGGTAGTTTGCATTATAGTTACAGGTTCCCAGTCGGTTAAATGTGGTAGATTAAATGTTCTCATTCTCCAGAAAGGTCAACATATCCCTGTCTACGTGGGCAATAGAGGGCCTGGCTTGTCCCAAGGATCTGCTGAATAAACAAATGAATAAATGAATGCAGGTCAGCACAGCAGACGGTATCCCTGAAAACCCAAGGTCTACAGAGTACCTCTATGTGAATGCCAAGGTCACTGACCTGCAAGAACCCTGAAGAAAAGATGTCTATACAAAATCACAGAAAATAAGCCAATACCTTGCCCTCAGATCTTAGCACAGCCCTTGTCTTCAGCTAAATGCTTGACGAATGAACAAAAGAGGAAAGAAAACATATGTGAAAAAGCTACTGAGACTGAGGTAAAGAGATGAGGAGGAAAGAATCACTTCATCAAACAGACCGGCCCACACTGGGCCAGTTCAGGCTATCCCAGAAGAGGCAGGAGAGCTGCCTCTGTCCCAGGGAGGAGCAGGAGGCTAGAACCCTCAGAGAGAAGGGAGAAGGCAAACTCAATGAGCATATCCACTCAAAATATGTGTTCCTAACAAGGCTATTGGCTTTGAATATCTGAATATCATCCACAAATTAGTTTACTAAGCCACAACGCAATTGCTACTTGCACCTGTTTTTAATAAAGAACCCAAGAACGGATACCCTGAAATCGGTGGCTGGTGTCATGGCCCCGTCCCAGAGCCAGGAGTGGCTCTCCATGCAGTGGACAGATTCAGGTTGGAGAAGGCCTTCACACTGACCTTTCTGGTCGGGATGCTTCAGTGAGAGAAAGGACACAGTCTGGTTTGCTTTAGTATATTCAGCTTCTCTCTACCATCAGTGCGAGAGAGCGTTCTGACTCAATGCAGGAGGCACCGGAAGATCCAAGGTTAATACATCATCAGATACGTAAGACTGAAAGACCAGTGAGTTGTGCTCTTAGAATTCTACACTCTGGGGAATATATGGATCCTGTAAGTCCAAAGGAATCGCTCGGGAAGATGACGTAAGAAAGATGGGTTGGTTCTCAGGGGAGGGGTTGCAGGCTGCCACCTGTCCCTTTCTGGCTGCACTTCCTCCTTCAGGTCCCTATTCTTCCTCTGGGCCTTTCAAACTGATTTTTCAAGACTTCACATGTTTGCTGTGGTCAGGAAGAGGAACAAATGATGGACAAGGACCCTACTGCTACCCTGAAAGCTCCCTGAGTCACACTCAGACCAGGTCTTACCAGGAACTGGGAGCTGAAGAAGGGGAAGGGGGCCCGGCACCAAGCAGGGCCTGATGAGGGGCTCTGGGCTGTGCAGGAGTTGCTGAGGCCATGGTAGTGAGACGCTGCCCAGTAACAACCTACTGCGGCCATGTTAGTCTTGGATGCCTGGACAGTGACCACCAATGACAGGAAGCCATACGAGGGTCAGTGATCCCAATGCTGGCATATGCAAGCAGGGGGAGCCACTGGGGATGACAAAGGCTTGTCCCAGCCTGTCTTCCAGATGGGACTGACCCCTCCAGGGGCATGACCCTGTTTAGAGTGTGGGAAGGGGTGGGGATGGGCGGAGGGAGCATCTGCACAGGGGGAGGAGGAGGACTGGGGATTCTTGGACTTTGCAGAGGATGCCTGATCTACTAGGGAACCTGACTCAGCACTGTGACTGAGGGCCAATTTGCTTGATGAGGTAGTTCCATCCTGACCTCTCCAGGCAGGGTCAATCTGGGAAGACGGGAGCTAGGCCTTCTTCCCAAGACTCTTGATCGTGAACGGTGACAGGGAAGAGCCAGGATGTGGACTCCCAGAATGCAATGGGGCAAAAAAAAAAAAAAAAGAGGAAGGCTGCAAAGGATTCTGAGTGCGGACTGTTGAACGCTGCCTTCTATCCACGACTGTGATCCTGACACTTAGCTTGGAGACAGAGACCTCCCTCCCCTGACCCTCCAAAGCCCTAGAGACCAGAGGGCCAGCTGGAGGAAGGACCTCAGGGCCTCCAGGGGCATGAGCATGTGACACAGCTGGCTCTGGGCAGGGCGATGACCCTACGGTGCTCAGCAGGGACCACAAAGTTCCAGCTTCAGTTTGTTCCAGAAACGGCAAGCACAACGTGGGAGTTGGGAGGGGTCTTCGGCCTCAGAGACAAGGGGCTGTGGATCCACCTTCTTGTCCTGGGAACACTGGGGACCTCCCAGCGAGGCCGCCAGGCTGCCCTTCTGGAATGGCTGGCTGCAGCCCTCACCCTTCCCTCTCCTCAGTGGGCAGGAGAGTGGGGGGGAGGGCAGCTCCACTTGGCAGCGGGACCCACCACCTCCTCTCCATGGCGCCCCCGGCCCCTCTCCTTGGCAGGACCCCGGGGGCCGCATGTGCCCGCCTAGATCTCCATGTCCACAGGGCGGATGTTGCCCGTCTTGTGCTCTCTGACCCACAGCTCCCTGTCTTTGGCTGGATCCACTTTTCGAAGTAGCTGGTCCACAGGCTCGACTGTCTGCAAGGGATGGAGGAGAGAGGACGCCATTTCAGATCTCACTGCCTTGAGGCAGGCTGCCCGCATATCCGCTGTCACAGCAGCCTCTTGGAGGGTTGGGGGCCCCAGGGGAGGCCCGTGAGGGGCAGACGTGCAGAGGCTGTGAGAGCGGGAGCCGGGACCTCTCGTCCCACCCTGCTTCTCATCGAGCACTTGACCCTCCGGACCGCAGGCCGGATGGAAGGGCAGAGTGGCTCAATGGCTCCAGGCCGATGACCAGTTCCACCCTTCGCTCCCACGGCTACCACCACAGAACAGGACCAATGACACTGTCCAGTTAGATATGCTGCATAGTTCTGGTTCTTTTATCTTTTTGGTAAGAGGTTGGCCGGGGCAGGCAATACCATCTTCAGCTACTTAACTACCATGAGTGTGGTCCTGGGGAAACAGCTCACGTGCGCTGCCTCCATTCCACGCGCTTGGGATGGGTTCCTGTGGGTGGGCACGACACCCTGCAGGCCCGTCCCTGGGCTGCCCACTGCCCATTCAGGCTCATGTGCAGTGGCCACTGCACCCGCCACGAGACAGGGGTCCCCCTGGGGCCTTGGGGCCTCCGTCCGGGGCGGGGAACTCACGCTTTGGTTGAACATGTCTGTCTCGTGCCGCAGCTGTGTGTACTGGCACAGGTGCTGCCGGATCATCTCCACTCGCTCCACCTCCAGCCGCTCCAGCTCCTGCACAAGAGGAAACGCAGATGCCTGGGACGTGTCCCTCCACCCGGACTTGGGACATGCCCTTCTCACCACATGGTCCCAGGCCACCCTCTCACACACACGTCGCCACTGCGTAGGCCAGATCCCTCTTGACCCTGTGGGGTCTGATGAGGAACCCGTCCCACATCTAGCGGTGCCAGTGAGGATGCTGACCCAGCAGCTAGCTACTGCTGGCGGGTGGGTGCTGAGCATTACAGGCATTACCTATTGTGCTCAAAATAATCTGAAGAGACAGGCTCTGTTCTTGTCCACATTTTCCAAACAAGGGAATGAACATCCAGAGAGGTAACGTCACCTGCCCCCAGTGACATGGAATTATGGGAGGAGCGAAATTTGAACCCGGACTGCTGTGGTCTGACTCATGATTCTGCACCAGTGCAGACCCGGGTCCCGTTCCAGGGGGGTGGAGAGATGGGACCCATGCGGGGTGTCTGTGGCTCCTTGGGCCTCTGTCCGCTGTCCACCCCAATTGCTGAGGGACAGATCCGAGACCAGGCCAGGGGAGGCAGGGGCAGAGGGTGGGGTGGCCCCTGTCAAAGGGAAGAGTGGAAAGGGTTTGTCCTTTGGTTTCTAGGTGGTACCGCATCTTTGGAACTGAGGGGATCAGGCTGTTATTCTTGCATAACTAGGTCACTGCCCCGGTGATTACCCAGGGAGGGGTAAAGGAGGGGGCTTAATTAGGAGATTAACCAGGAGGAAAAGCAGGTCACTGCCTGTGCCGGACAGGGGTGGCTTTGGCAATGGGGCAACGTGACAAACAGCTGGCATGATGCTCCTTTCTCCTCTGGTCCAATGGCCCATGTGCCCACGTGCCCACTGCATCTCACTGCGGCTGGCGCTGACTGAGGAGGAGGTGCTGCCCCTCACGGGAAATCTCGGGAAGGCGAGAGAAGGGCTCTGATGCCGATCCCTCCCCCCCTGATCGTGGGCCACCCCCGCTCTCCCTACACAGCTCCCAGCTTCACCCTTCACCCCTGCAAGGATCTCCCCTGTAGGAGCTGAGACTCCTCTGGGGGTGAGAGAATCATGCTTCCTGCAACTTGGCTATTTGTCCTAAAGGGGCCACCATCAACTAGTTGGGGATTCCTCAGTTGAACCCGACCCCTCAGGGCACAGCCAACCCTCCCCCGTGTTTACACAGCCAGGAAGGGCCAGAGCAAGGGTACGAATGAGCTTGGACTCACCCAGAGGGGAGGTCTGGACCCCAAGATGAGCAGACATAATGACTCTCCACAGTCACCCACTCTACCGCCTACATGCCTACCGGCACCCACCCAGGGCACCCTGAGTGCCAGTCACAGAACGGGCATGCTCACACCTCTCGGGGCACTCACCAGCGTGGTGGTCACCATCTCTTCAAACCACTTGGACTGGGCCTGGTTGTAGAGGTCCACACAGCGCATGAGGTCATCTCCTAGGAGAGGCCAAGGCCACGTCACCCCCTGTCTTGTGCTTGCCGTGGCTGCCCTCTGCCCCCTGCCCCCCATAGCCACGCCTTCTCCTCTCCTTGGGGTCATGGAGGCCAGCGGAAAGTGGAGGCGAGAGGGAAAAACAGAGGACAGAGCGGGCAACCCAGCATCACAAGACACCAGCTTCAGAGTGCCCATCTGAACTTGACCCCAGACAACAAGAGTTCAGGATGGAGGTTTCTCAGTGTGGGGGGTTAAAGTGAAGAGGGGGTTACTTCTAGCACCTCCCAACCTATCAACAGCCAAAGGCACGCTTCCTCTTTAAAGATGATAGCTTCATATCACTCTAGAGAGTCCTTTTTGGGTAAAAAATGTCACAAGCAGCTAGGTACCAGTTAAGAGTTAAAGAAGAAAAATGTACAAGTTATGTCTGTGTGTTTGTGTGTGTGTACGTATGTATGTATGTATGTATGTATATGCATGTGTGTGTATGTGTACATGCAGCAGGATGCCATTCTGAAACACAACCCAATGTGTTTGCTGGTGGATGTTCATCCATGTGCAGTGATGGCATGGAAAGTGCTACCCACCGACCCAGTCAGCACTGGCAGGGGGACAGAAAGGCTGGGTGGGAGGAGAGGGGCTCTTTCCCCAGCATTTTATTTCTTAAGAGATCAGAAACAGATATCACCGTTCAATCTGGATGCTACGACACTGTTTTCTGCAATCACAAGTACGTTTGCAAGTTTGTCATTAGAAAGAAGACACACTACAACTGCAAACATGACGAAGGCACCAGCACCCCAGAACCTCGCTACAAAACACGGCTCCCAGGCCCGCAGGTCACTCCCCCGGGGGCCGGCCAGAAGTGCAGCTCTCGGGACTACGCGACACCTGGAATCAGGACTGCGCCTTCACAACATGCTCAGGTGGTCCCTGTGCACATCTCCGTTCGAGAAGCACCACTCGGGTCTTAGTGTAGTTTAGACCATCACTGGGTTCCAGAGAGGATGGCATCAGGGTCTTTGCTCACGAGGGGAAAACTCGAGCCGGTCAAAGCTAACTCATTTATTCTTGAAGTCTGTTACTTGGCGTGGGTTCGAAGTTATTCCTGTAACGTCACCTTGTCATTCTGGTGTGAAAGTGAAGGCAAAGTGCACACAGGGCCTGGCCAGCCGCTCCCTTCCACCTGAACCACACCACTAGCTGGGAGGTGACCTTGAGTTCATTTGCTCCTGGTCAAGGTCAAGGACTTGGCCCTAATAGCCCAAGACAATCAAGAACTGGAAGGGAAAAGGTTGATACATCACTGCAAGTGCCCACTGAGACCTGGGCCTAACCCAGGATGGAGGTAGTATGTCACCCTGTAAAGATACACTATGAAAGTCCCAACGCCTGATTTGTCAATCCTGATTTGAGAACATGCTTTGGCAACTTCTGCAACATCAGGAAACAGGGTAGGTGAAGGAAGGTGTGTCTTATCTCTGTGCAGCCCGAGGGTCTGAAATGAAACCCCTCTGAACAGCATGGGTTCAGCAGGTGGCTTCTGGAGCCAGGATATCTTATCTGTCATACGAACACCGCGGCTTACTAGCCTAGCGCGCAACCTTGAGCAAGTCAATTAGCCTGCCTGCACCTCAGTTTCCTCACCTGTAAAACAGGGGTAATCATGGCATCTTCAGAGTTAGGTTAAACACATCGATATACGTAAAGTGCTCAGATCTGACGAGGAGTCAGCAAACCGAATCAGGAGTTAGTGGTGACGATGATGATGATGATGAGACAAAAGGAAGTCAAGCCCCAAGGATCAGCTGCCCTCCCTTCCAGTTGCCCGAGAAAACACGAGGGAGGGGACAAAAGAAAAGATGGCATTTTCTGGGTGGTCCAACAAAAAGGCGACAAAGCCAAGTCATTGGAATAAGATGGAATTCTCATCAACACTTCCCATGACTTAGGTCTTGGGGAAGTTTCTCACTCTGTCTAACACCAGTTTCCTCACTTGTAAAAGGTATAAAAACACTGCCCTGTAGGAGGACTTGGACGGTGAAGAGAGAGAATGTTCTGGGGCATGAGTCCTGGTGGCTGGCACACAGAATTCTGGTGGTGTTTTCAAAGACAGGTCCAAGGGCCAGTGACTTTCATCACAAACAATTCCAAACTGTGCAGGTGAGAGAACGTGCTATTGGCTGACTAAAATATGAGAAACAAACAGCAGTAGTAACTACTGGAAAGCAGTAGTAACAAAGCCTGAACCCACGAAAATGTAAAGATTTTATATTAAGTTTGGCTCAAAGATGAAATCAAATCACAAAAACAAAAATATCCAGACTATGAGTAGGAAAACCCTGCAAACCAGAACTCTGGGAATACGGTTTGGTTAGGCAGTGGCGTGGCGTGGGGATAGTAAGTGCCTGGTGGCCTAACTATAGGGGGGGGGGAAAGTAGGTTTACAGTTGTCTGTATGAAAAATAATACAATAATTAATAAATAACAATACAAGAACAAACACTGTGTTTTGCATACTTATAACTGTACACCTACATATGTCCCACCCCATATTTAATCTTTTTAACCTGAGACCAAAAAATAGCAAGGAAAAAAGTAATTTAAAAAAATCTTAAATGCGGAAAGTCTAAGTTAGTCATGAAACCTAAACTATGTTATAGAGATAAGATCATTACACAAAAAAAATAACAAGAAACAAGCCCCCTTGCCCCAAAATACAAAGAACCAAATTAAAAGACAACCTAGGAAAAAATATTTGCAACTCAAATGACGAAAGGATAATTTTCCTAATGTGTAAATAACCTCTACTAATCAACCAATCAGTCAATCAATCAGAACAAGACAAGCCACTGACTAGAAAATGGGGAAAAGATATGCGTGATTCAGTTCACAGAAAAAAAAGTAACAGATGATACGTCTGTTTTGAAAATGCTCAGCTTCACTCAAAAAGAAATTTAAAAGAATGTGTAGACGTTTAAATATAAACATTTAAAACATTAAAAATGTTTTAGGAAGTATTGATGGTGATTAATTTGACAGATTAAGGTTTTATATTCTTATGTGCTGATTAAATATTTTTCCCATGCAAAGATATTGATTTTATAATATAATTTTACTTAATAATTCATTACATAAATTTAAATATGCATTTCCTCGCCTTAGGTCTCCCTTCCCAATCACAGTGGGTATAGAATGCCTTCTATTTCTGAGTATGCTTCTATTATTTGTCATTGACTTATTTTCCACCATCTTATTCAAAATGTCCATAGGTGGCTGCCTCGTTCCACGTTCCATTATGAGTTGATTGTATGAGGAATACCAGAAGCCAAGTAGAAGGGTCCTGGACCATCTGATTGGAACCATCACACATTTCCGCCTTAGAAAGCAACATGCACTGTCCTTGCATGCAGTGAAACTTTTAAAAGGAATATCTTTTAAGTTTTTCCTGGTTCTATCTGGCTCTTCTCCCCCTTCCTTGGGCATTAGCTAATTTTTACCACTAGGTGGGAGCAGAGACCAACACACCGGAAGCATTTTTCAGGAAGAATCTGAAAAGTGGCTGCTTACTGGGGCAGGCTGGGGTGGAGTCTGTACTTCCAGGGGCTCCCCACAGTCCCAGGGGTGTGGAGGAGTAACCACTTCACTCCCCGACCCCATCCCGTGGGATGCACCTTCCAGACATCCCTCCTCCCCCCGAGGTGCCTCCCTGGCAGGTGCAGCCAGGCGGGCGGGCCCTCTCACCGGCCTGCGTGGACTTCCTCCGGGCCTTCTTGATGTCCTCCTCCGTCTTGTTGCTCAGCTTGATCTCCAGCTGCTGGGTCTTCATCTCCAGGTCCCGCTGCCGCTCCGTGAGCGCTTTCCGGGCCTGCGGGCCAGGACACGGAACGCTGCTCACGGGGCTCGGAGCCAGGAGGGGCCCGTGGCCACGTGGACGGCCTCCCCGTGTCTAGCTAAGAGTCCTTGCTTTTCCCTGTCCTTGTGGATGATGCCATCATGGCCCGAGGAGACTCAGCCTAGCATCACTGGGCCGCCCAGTCACTGTGCCGAGCCTGCAACCCTCTCTCTCATCCCGTCTCTCCCTGCCCTTGGCCGACAGCAAGCCTCAGGCCTGGTGTGATGGAGCATGTGCACATGCAGACAGCCCTGAAATCACAGCCAGCGGGCCGAGCCCAGGTCATCCATGGCACCTCCCCCAGTGCTTAGTCTGGGTCAGGACGGGTCCTTTGGGGGCAGCAGCTGGCTGTCGAGGTGCCTGCAGCCGTGTGCGCCCCCTTCTCCTGCACCCTGTCACTGTGGTCAGCCCCCGGGGAGAGCCCCCTTTCCTCCAGTGGCCGTCAGCAGCTCCACAAGCTGAGCCCTCGTAGGCTTTTGGGAGGGGGTGACTCGGTCAGGAGAGAACCCGCCAGGCGAGGCCCAGACAAAGGGGGGCATGTGGCCCAGCAGCACATCCAGGCTCCGCGTCCCAGGAGAGCATGGCTGTATGCACCTCCTCTCAGGGCCGGATGGAGCCCGGATGGAGACTCCACTTCCCACTGCAGATGCAGCCTCTTCTGGCTGCCACAGGCCTCCTGGCTGTGACTGATTGCCATGGGGGAGAGATCCCATCTGCTCTTTGCGGGGAGGCAGGTTCCTCAGGCATGGACTGGGAACCCCCTTTCCCCCTCACCTACCCCACTCAGCCCACCCTGTTCCTCCCGCCCGCCCTGCATCCCGGCCCCACACCTTCTCCACGGCCGCGTAGCGGCTGGCGAGCTGCTTGCGGAGGTCGGCGATGTGGTGGTCACACTTCTTCATGTCTTTCTTGAAGTTCTCACGGAAGTTCATCAGGGGCTTCTCCACCTCGCTGTGGAGCTGTGGGGAGAGAGGGGCACCCTCAGGACCCGGGCACCAGCTGCCACAAGCGCTGGGGGTGGGCATCTCCCACCCTCACCGTGAGGGGGGCTGGGCAGTGGCCTGGCCCAAGGTACGACTGAGTGTCCACTTAGGAGAAGGAGGCTCAGCTGGCCAGGCCCCTGTACACTGCTGGGTGAACAGGATGGAGTCCTGAGCTTCCTGAGGCTCGTGGCAGTCACTGCCTCCTCCCTCTGAGCTCCCACAGCTCCTGACCTTCCAAGCTGGAAGCTTTCTGAGGGCAAAACCACGCTGCCATGGTGTGCCAGGCGCCCGCCACTGGCATGGGTGCCATGTATCTCGGGTGCCACAGGTGAGCTCTGTTCCCCGAACACCTGTTCTGTGCCCGTGCGAGCCTGCGGGGGTGATCTGGACGCAGTGCTATGCTCCAAGAAGCGATGGCGGGAGCCAGCTGGGGCGGCGGGGGCTCCCGGGGTCCCTCTGGGCACTGCGCCTGGGGTGGGGCTGCTCATCTCACTGGGCTGCATGGAGACGGGCACATCCCATCCTGGCACAGGGAACGGCCTCTCGGCCGGAGGCCGGAGGAAGAGGTTTACGCTCTGAGAGGAGTGGGGGTATTTTCCAAGCATTTTCCTTCTCTTATATTCTTTCCCTCGATCCCACTCCTCTTTGAAGAACTTTTACTTACACTGGTTTTTTTTTGTTTTTGGTTTTTTTTTGTGTGTGAACATGAGATGCCCCTGATGAGAAAGCCGGTAAATGTGGAGCTGCTGCCACGCCAGGTGAGCAGCCTGGAGCAAGCATGTCAAACCCGCGGCCCGCGGGCCACATGTGGCCCACAATGAATACTTTTGCAGCCCAACCAATGTAATGGCATGTCAGAAACGTTTTGGTAAAAATTTCGTAACTTAATTTTTACAAGACCCTGTTATATATACATAATTATTAATAACGAACCACAACTTTGGCTAATGACTGAAGACTATCACCGTGTTGCATTCATTTCCCTTATGTGCCCTACACTCAGGTGCACCATTTCTCTCCACTAATACCGGCAGCAAATATTTTAGCAGCCGATGGCCACACCCTTAGTCTTGGACTGACTTGTTTGGTGTGCACAACGGGAAATATTTCGCTTTTGGAGAACAAGAAAAATAGGCTTATTTGCATTACGCTTATTAATTTGTGCGATTATTCAGTGTCTGGTAAGCGAATGTTCAAGAAAAACTATTAATTTTTATTAAAATGTTCTATTATTTTATGTTAACGATTATTCATTTATTTCAGCCCTTTGTATTCAGCATGTCTCTATCAGAATAAACCTACGTTTTTATGAAAATTGGAGCTTTTGGGGTTTTTTTGCGGCCCACGTACACTTCAACCTTGTTTACTTGGCCCGTTAGCCTTTGAGTTTGACATGCTTGGTCTAGAGCCTTGCTGAGTTAGTCTCTCTGAGCCTCACCCGAGTCAGCTTCCTGTGCCCTCCTGGCCCAGCCTTCCGGGGCCCTGGGGCCTCCACCTGCCCCAGAAATGCCTTTGAAAGGTACAGCTGAGCTCCCTGTCAAAGGAACCAACACACACACACACACACACACACACACACCCCACTCTAGGATTCGGGATTTCTCTCTTCCTCCTCCTCACCAGGCTCCTGGTACATGATCTTTTCCCCTGGCGACCTCCAGGGCTTACGTGCTCTTAGCTCTACACAACCGGTTACACCGGACTGAGTCCAAGGGCCCAGGAGCCTGGCTGGCGGGAGCTGGTGCGGGTGGAGCGAGTGCCCCTTTCACTGTGTGGGACGGAGTTACATTGTAGGACACACCGCTGGTGAAGGAAGGCCCGTGAGGGGAAAAGCGGTGTGCGCAGCAGTGGGAACAGGAAGTAGCAGCGGAACACAGAGCACTGGGATTGTTTGGTCTGAGAGCATTCCAGAAGCGGGGTCCTGCTGATGGGGAGTAAGCGCCATGGGTCCGGGACCTGGGACCCAGCAGGAGTCCTTTCCGAAGCTCAGGCGATGGGCTCCCAGCCCTCCCAGCCCATTGGCAGCCTTCCCATCCACCTTTCAGCCAATGGCGGCTTCTTTGTGTGGGAACAGAGCTGCTGGGGCCAGGACAGAGGGGAGACCTGGAGGGAGCACCTCCAGGCTGGAGGGAGCACCTCCCATGAACTGCAGCTTAGAAAGCACTCGCTGCCTTGTCTGCACGGCAGGAAAGAGTTTAATCCGCTGAGTTCCCTCCTCACCCCACTGGAGGGGGACCTCCTGTGCAGGGGCTGGTGCCTGGGTTGGCGAGCTATGGTTAGCCAGGCATTCTCACATCTGGGTGGCAGCTCGCTCCTGGGCACTCCCACCCGGCACAGCAGGAGCTAGAAATAGCCCGGATGTCTCCTTCAGCTCAGCTTTGTTTGCAGCTTGTCCCCGTGGCTCATTTCTGAGTCACTCACTCTGCCCTGTGTGCGGGGCACCAGCACGAAGCGGGTGGGGAGGCCTGGCACAGAGCCAGACGGCTGCCTCGGACAGTGCACATCCCATGGGGCCTGAGGCCCAGAACGGCAACTGCTGTGGGGGACGCACTCCACAGAGACAGGCCCTGGAGGCCCCGGGGAGGAGCAGCCATCTTTGCAGGGAAGCAACTTCACATAGGAAAGGGGGCGGTGTGCCCCTTGATTTAAAACCGCAACTCAGAGGGGCTAAACGCTCTGTCCGAGTGCCCCTCAGGCTGTCTAGTGGCTGGTGGGGGGGGGGGAGAGCGATGAGTGATGACCCAGGAAGCTAAGGTAAGGTGACCAGATGTCCCAATTTTTAACAATTTGTCCCATATCCCATGGTGTTTTTAAAAAAGTCCCGATTTTTCAAAAAATCGGGACTTTTTAAAAATGCCGTGGAACGCGGGACAAATTGTTAAAAATCGGGACTGTCCCGCCAAAAGAGGGACAACTGGTCACCTTAGTAAGGGTCTCCCTTCCTTTAAAAGGCCAGCAGGCTGCTGCCTAGCCGCCAGCCAGGCACACTGTAGTGTGGATTATGTCACTCAGACACGTGGCTTATTTCCCCCTGAAAAGTAGCCAACAGCCCGGGAAGGAGTTCGGAGACATGGGCCGGGATCGGGGAGAGAGGGCCGCTGGAACAGGGAGGAGAGAGGGGGGAAGCGGGCCTGAAAGAGTCATCTCCTCCTGAGCCCCATTCACTCAGCACTGCAGACCACGTTAGCTGAGCAGCTCCCGCCAGGCCCAGCCCGAGGACCGAGGGAGGGAGAGCATGGAACAGAGACAGTGCTGCCCTCCACCAGGTGCCCGGGTCTCCAGAACCGATGAAAGAGGGGTCAGTTTCCCAGCCTGAAATGTTGTGACAAAGACAAACAAAACCCTCCCGGCTCCCCACTCTTTCTCTGGCCTAGCGTCGTCTCCTGACACCAAGGAGGAGGAAGAAATGCCAGCACATTCCTTCGAGAGCCCAGCGACCTGAAGGCGGGGTATCATCCTTCACAGGTGCACCTGAGGCCCTCAGGGGATCCCCTCCCCCCAAGGATGCTGGGGCAGTCTGTACTGGCACCAAGTGCTGCACATGTAGGAATTATATGAGCTGGTTGCTCAAGACAGCAGCATTAAAAATTGTGATCTATATTCAAAATTATTCAATGACATTAAAAATAAGAGTATGAAATACTCAGTACATATCACTTCCTAACTACATTCCCTGTCCTCCACGGTCTGGTGGCTAGCTCTGACGACTCACTACGGCACTGGGATGGTGGGAACATCGTCCTGGGCTGAGCCACTGCCCATCTGCCCCAGCCCTGGATGTGTGCATCCCGGACCCTGGGCCAGGGCAGTGCTCCTATGGTCTCTTCCGAACCCCTGGCAGGTACGGCATGGGAACTGGCAACGCCACGCACAGGGGAGGCGACTGTGCCCAGCCTGGCAGCACACCATGAAGCAAGCCCAGCCCAGAGAGGCCGTGGGGAGGGGTTACCTTGGCGGAGAACTTGAGGTGGACCTCTGCCTCGTCCGCTAGGCTCTTCTTCACCTGCGCCCACGCCTCTCCCAGGGACCTGAAGCACGAAGGAGACCGTCAGACTTGGAAGGAGACCCCGGAGGCTGGGCTTGGGGAAGGTAGACGCCAGGCAGGCACAAAACAAACTTGGGCACTGTTTCAACCTGAGCCTCCAAACCTTTGGGAGTTTCTAAGGGGATGGGGGTCATGTCCAAAGCCACGTGTGAGTGCAAAGCAGCGTCGCTGCACAGAGAGCAGGGCCCATGGGCTCATCCCCCCGCAGCGCCTGCTGGAAGGAGTGTGCGTGGGGTTAGCCTGTGTGCACAGGCAGTGCTCAGGGCCACGCTGGAGGTGAGCAGCACCGATGCACGTATGTGAACGTGTGCCCAGCTCCCCGTCTGTAGGTGTGTGCGTGCACAGCATGGCGGTGCAGGCCTGGCGCCTTCAGCTGGGAGCATATGCTGTGCATGTTGGCAGGACTGAGTGTCCTCGGCAGCAGCCCAGGCCGAGGAGAGGGAGGGGGGAGACTCGGGGCAGCACTGTGGTCACAGGGAATGGCAATGCCTGGAAAGGCCCCTGCCCCGGCTGGTGGGGCAGCTCCTCCACGCTCCTCCTTCCTGCCCTCATCTCAGGCCCAGTGCACGGAGCAGGGGGGCCGGAGGGAACCTCATTTCTGTCCGTGGGAGAGACACCAGCCTTGCAGGGCTGCCCTGTGGCCTGTGGCTGGTGGGTGGGTGGAAACCACCAGGAGGTGGCCTGCTGGCTGCATAGCGGGCCCATGCAGAGGCCTTGATCAAAACCACATGTAGCCAGCAAAAAGCCATGCCGCTGTGGGGTTCCAAGCCATGCAGGCAGGGCTGGACTCTCGGACAATCACAGCATCCACTGCCTTCCGCTGGGCTCACTTCCTCTCTCAGGAGGGAGTCAGACGCTGCCCTGGAGGGAGGTCCGACCAGACAGAAGACTCCAGGGACCTGCAAAGCTAACTTTCTGCGCCTTTGTTTTTATTGCTGGGAAGAAATTCATTCAGAATGATCGCACTTAGCCCGGCCACTCTGCTATGCAACCACCACCTCTAGCTAGTTCTGAAGCAATTTCATTACCCTGCGATGGACTGAATGCTGGTGTCCCCTAGGTTACCATGTTGAAGCCCTAACCCCTGGTGTGACTGTGAGTTGGGGATTGGTCCTCCCTAGCAGAAACAGGTTACGTGAGGTCATATGGGTGGGCCCCCAATCAGACGGGATTAATGTCCTTATAAGAAGAGACGCTGAGAACTCGCTCACCCTCCTCCCTGGGAAAGGCCACAGCACAAAGGCGGCCGCCTGCAAAGGAGAGGAGAGCTCTCACCAGACACCAGCTTGCAGGCAACTTGGTGCTGCACTCCCAGCCTCCCGAGCTGTGGTAAGTTTATTTCTGCTGGTTAAGCCCATCTATTTTTACTGTTACAGCAACCCACGGAGATGAATACACACCCTCCAGCAGAAGAAACCCCGTGCTCATTAAGCAGTTACTCTCCGTCCCCTTTCATCCCCCAAACTCAGACAGCCACCACTCTGTCTTACAAATTTGTCTGTTCTGGACATTCCACATAAATGGAATCATCTAATATGCAACCTCTGTGTCTTGCTTCTTTCCCTCATCCACGTAGTAGTATGGATCAGTACTTCATTCATTTTTATGGCTGAATAATTCCATCATACACTGAGTGGCCAGATTATGATGATCTCTGAACACACAATAATCTGGCCACTCAGTGTATATCCTATATAATAAAAGGCTAATATGCAAATTGTCCCTTCAACCAGGAGTTCGACCAGCAGATAGGCTGGCTGAACCCCACCCATGCATGCACATATTCATGCACTGGGCCTCTAATATGTGTGTGTGTGTGTGTGTGTGTGTGTGTGTGTACACACACACTGAGTGGCCAGATTATTATGCGTTCAGAGTATATCCATATATCCAATGTGGACACATCATATTTTGTCCATTCATCTTTTGATGGACACTTGGGTTGTTTCTAACTTTCGGCTACTGTGAATTGGGTGCTGTGAGGATTCGTGTACACGTATTTGTTTGAGTATCTGCTTCCATTTCTTTTGGGTCTAAGCCTGTGAGCAGAACTGCGGGGTCACAGTAATTCTAGGCTTAGCTTTTGAGGCTCTGCCAAGCTGTGCTTCTACAGCGGCTGCACCACTTACATTCCCACCAGCAGGCCCAAACGCTCTGCTAACCAGACAGAGTGGAGAAGGTACAGTCTTCCTTCCACCAGGGATCCTTCTGTGGCAGGGAGTGTGGGCTGAGCCTCCCCAGCCCAGGTCCCACACAAGGTGGTCTGGACTGTAGCAGCTGGAAGGGGAGGGGGCCCGGGGCCTCAGGCCCACAGGGGAGAATTCTAAACAAGCGGCCAAGTGCAGAACCCTCTCACACCCAGCTTCCTACCAGCCTGCCCTCAGAAAGGGAAGCAGGTGCGGCTGATGCCCAGCTACCAGGGGCCAAGGCGGAGGGGCTCCAGCATATGGCAGGAGGCCCTTGGCCACGAGAGAAAAAACAATGCAGAAGTGCTAACCTTGAGCGTGCATGCCCTCACCTTGAACCATGCATGCCCACAGTGAGCCAGGCCAATGGAGACTTCCACTCCGATGGGCCCATGGCAATAATCAGTGATCAGTGCAAAGGGAACGACCCGCCCCTTCACCCCCACGACCTGCCAAGTGTCTCCTCTTCCTCCCACTCCCCACTCACCCTTCCTCCTGTGCAGCCAAGGAGTTCTGAGAGAGCTTAGCTAAGTTCTTCGCATATTCTTCTTCAATCTTTATCCTGCAAGGGGAGGAAACCCAACAGGTCAGCTCCCCCGCGCTGGTTGGTGGGTCTAACCTACAGCCCTGTTGCTTAATAACCAGGTAAAGGAACCCACTAGACCATATGCTCTGAGAGTACATGGCTCTTGTCTGCCTGGCACATAGTAGGTGCTTAGTAAATATTCTGTTGAATGAATGCATGAATGCACAAAATGGTCTGAACCTCCCTGTCTGCTCATCTGCAAAATGGGCTATTCCCAGCTGTCTGCCAGGTTGTGAAGGTGAAAAGCTATCATTTGCACAGCTCCTGACCCGGGGCTGGACACTCGGGAGGCTCTTAAAGGGTTAAATGTAAGTCATGATGGACCACAGGGATGCCCAATGCTGTCCTCCACTTTCCAGCTCGAGTTCTGGGTTAACCTTCCAAGGTGGCATTGGCCCTTCAGAAGCAGAAATAGAACTGCTCCCTGTTGTCTCCCAGCCCCCAATGCCTCTAACAGCCAGGCCTGCAGGGCACACGTATTTCCATGGAGACCAGGCAGTGCCCAGAGCTTGCTGATTCCATTTCCCTGGAGAGGGAAGCGGCCGTGGACTTTGCTTCCAGCAGGCAGGGCCTTGACACACTTTCGAGGCAACTCTCCGGGGAGCATGCTGTACTGTCTGGTGTCCCCGTGTTCAATGTGCTGTTGGAGGTTCTGTGCCCCTGGTCCATCCCTCGGCAAATGGGAAAGCCCGAGATGCTGGGGTGGCAAAGAGGGTGTCCACAGGGTGGCCTACCACGACCCAGGGCAGCATTTGAGAGACAGTGATTTCATGGCTTGGTGCTGAGACCCACAGCCTGCTCCTCTCACTGCTTTGCAACCAGACCTTTGACTGGTCTCTGGGTCTCATCGCTCTCTCCCCTTCACTCTGCCTGAGCCCCAGGCTCCCAGGATGACCGGCTGGCCAGCCCACGGCGGCGGCCTCCAGCCTGTGACCAAGAGATCTCTCTAGAAAGCAGATCATGCCACGTCACACTCTGGATGCAAATCTTCCCAGGCTCCCACGACATCCAGGCACAAGGCCTGTCTGCTTCAGCACGTACAGCCAGGGCCAGTGCCTGTCTCACCCCACGCCTGCCAGCTTCCAGCCGAGGCCACAGCAAGGCCCGGGCCTCGGCCCCTGGCCCGCATGCTCCCGCTTGTGCCTCGGCGGCCCCTCTCCTGGCTCTGAAAGGCTCCCAACGTGACCCAAGGTGGACCGAAAGAAACTCCGTGCCTCGGGAAAGACCAGTGCTCTCAGACTGTGGGCTCAATTTATTTGCCAACATGACACCTTTATGAGAGTATAAACCATGAGTGTGTTCAACCTTCGGCTTTTACAACCATTTTCCTATTTGCCTATTTTATGCTGTTGTTTTTTGTTTTTTTTTCACCTGAGCTATGCAACCTCTCGGCTTTGTGCCAGTTTAATGGGTCATAAAATAAAGATTTCATTATACAAACAGAACACGGGGCTCTGAAGGAAAAGGGGCACTTTAAGATGCTAAAGAATTATTACTCAATTATTGTTATAATTAAAAAATAGTGTAGATACATTGCCATTTACTAAATATTTCCAGTGTCTCCAGGAAACACCAGACAGAAAGCTGTGTGCATGTGTCTGAACATACATAATGTATGCAAGTACATGTCCATGTTTGAGCACACTGTGTATGTCTGCAGGCACACACGTGTGTGAGCACATGCAAACATGGGTGTGGGGGGGTAATGCGCATGTGGTAGTGGGTGTGTGAGATGTGCTTAATGGGGTTTCTGAACTTGGAGAGAGGGGGTAGAAAAGGAACCTTGTCTTTTTATAGTTTTTCATAACAATAATTCCCTGTCTCTTCCCCTTTGTTCACCTGAATCACTATTTTAAAAAATATATATTTTATTGATTTTTCTACAGAGAGGAAAGGAGAGGGATAGAGTTAGAAACATCGATCAGCTGCCTTCTGTACACCCCGTACTGGGGATGTGCCCTCAACCAAGGTACATGCCCTTAACCAGAATCGAACATGGGACCCTTCAGTCTGCAGGCCAACGCTCTATCCACAGAGCCACACCAGTTAGGGCTGAACCACTATTATAACCCCTGCACTTCCTTTCTGAAAGCCCCTCACCTGCCTCCCCCATTACCCTGAGCTCCTGAGGAGGGAGGGCGTGGGGAGGGGCGGATTCTGTAAACCCAGGTCCAGGACACAGATTTGGTGACCATGGCAAACTGGGAACACACGCTCCCCCTACAGAGGCTGCGGCCACTCAGCTTCAGCCAAATGCCACACGAGGGACACCGCACCACTGTAGCCAGACTTCCTGCTTTCTCCAGAGACGCTAGATTTTAGTGTAAAAACCGACCAACTTAAAAAATGTTGGTTCAATAATAGCAGTCAGCAGCTGTGTATCATGCAGGTTGCCCAGGACCAAACCAGAGAGGATTGGACCTGCGTTACCACCACTTGCCCGCCATCCAGAACTGAAATATTATTGCTGACATGTACACATAAGGAGCTGACATTGAAACTGGGTCTCAAAAGAACTGGTGGCCCAGAAGGAAACTCACTACAGACTGATTCATAAGCCTTTCAGCATAACGATTATTGCTTGTCTCATTTTTTATTCTTATTTTTCCAGTAGGACATGATCTCACTCATCTAGGGGAAATGGTGAACAACATAGACTGATGCACAAGAACAGACCCAGAGATAAGGAGCCATGGGTCAGGCTGTTGGACCTCAAAGGGAGGGTGGGGATAAAAGGGAGAGATCAACCGAAGGACTTATGTGCACACATATGAGCCTAACCAGTGATCGAGGATAACAGGGGGGTGGGGGCATGAGGGGCTGGAGGATTGGAATGGGGGGTTGAGGACAAATATGTGATACCTTAATCAATAAAAATTAATTTAAAAAAATGTTAGTTCAAATCTTTAAAAACATGATGTAGGCCAGAACCACACGTTTGCCAGCCAGGTCTGTCCCGAGGGCCCTGAGGGGTGGCTGTGGGTGGCTGCAGCCTCATGCTCCCCTTGGTTCTGGGGTGCAGGCTCCCTCCTGCCACTCACTGCCCTCAGGCTCGGGGGCCACACAGGCCCTGTCCCCAGGGCCCTGAGCTGGGTGGGCAGGCCTACCTCTCCCGGATGAATTCTGACATCTCCTTCTGCATCTGCTTGCCCTTCAGCTGTTTCTGAAGCAGCAACTCAAACCCAGCCACGTTGCCATTGCCTTGGGGGTCCTTCTTGTCAGCCTAGGAAGGAAGCAGAAGCAGGAGGCTCAGTGATGGCGGGGAGAAGGAAGACAGACCCAGGGGACCAGGACATCTGGGAGGCCTGTCCTCAGCCCGAGAGAGAGTTCAGGCGCGGCCTTGGCTGCCTGACCCGTGCGTGTCTCCTGGTCCCCGGCTCCCACGGGCCCTGTGAGCATAAGCCACCCCACACCCAAGCCCCTCAACCGCCCAACCAGGAAAGAAGAGGAGGGGCCGGCGGCCAAGAGCACAGGCTCTGACCCCCAAGGGCCCATCCCTTCCGACCAGGGGCTGCTGAGGCTGCGGACCCTCTGGGGAGTCCCGGCATCCCGATTTGAAGCTGCGACCGCCTGTGACCTTGGCGTCCTATGTCCCTAACCCTTCCAGTGGTTCTCAACCTTCCAATGCTGCGACCCTTTAATATACAGTTCCTCATGGTGTGGTGACCCCCCAACCATAAAATTATTTTTGTTGTTAATTCATCACTGTAATTTTGCTGCTGTTAATGAATCATAATGTAAACATCTGTGTTTTCCGATGGTCTTAGGCTCTACAGTAGCGATTAGAAAGTTGCCTAAGACCATCGGAAAACAAAGATATTTACATTACGATTCATTAAGAGTAGCAAAATTACAGCGATGAAGTAGCAGTGAAAATAATTTTATGGTTGGGGTCACCACACCATGGAGAACTAATATTACCGCATCAGGAAGGTTGAGAACCACGGCGCTACACCATCCCATCTCCTGTCAGCTTCTTGCACTGGCCACTGGCCGGGCAGCGACACCTTCCAATGCACATTCCCCAAGGGTCCGGGAGGCTTCTGAGAGGCGCTGGGTGGGAAAGGGCCAGAGTGGAGAGGGCAGGCGCCGGGGCTGACATCCAGAGCGGGGGATCTCAGGGGCAAGTCTCCACGCGCTCGGGCCTGAGCTGCTTCGCCTGGGAAACTGGAGAAGCACCAGCCTGGCCACCTGGGTCTCCTTAGGATCAACCGCACGTCCCAGGTCCCCCTACAAGACTTAGCAGGCCTGGAGCTTAGATTCCTTCCCTGAAGTAGCCTCTAGTCTCCAGCCTTTACTGAGCAGCAGAGAAAGGGACCGCCCAGCTTACCGGCTTTCTGCCCGAGTTTCCGTGTTGCCCCGAACGAAAACCCTATCAATTCTCTGAGATTTATGGAACATTATGGACTCCAGAGGGTCTTAACTTCCCACCTCAGATGGTAAATCTCCCTCCAGGCCTTTAGGCCTCAACAGCAGAGGACCCTCTGCTTTGAGCTCAAGGCCCTTTGTGCCCCCTCTTGGTCCTGGGGGCCACAGCGTGGGGGAAACGGAGGCACCACTTACCCAGAAGTAGTCGCAGTAGCTCCACTCGGTTGGTTTCAGCAGCTGCTGCTCCGGCATCGTGTCCGGGTGGGGGAAGGTCACACAGTTGACCTGCAGGCACAGGGCAGGGGAGAAAGGGCGCGGCTGAGGGCTGGGCGGCGGGGAAGGCTCTGCTCCCGGACACAGCGCTGCAGAGGCGCCAGGAGGGTCAGCGTGCGAGAACGCTCACGGCGATCCCGAGATGCTCCGGGGGCCGACGTGTCAAATGGGGGCACAGGGACTCACAGCCACCCTAGAGGGGCTGCCCTTGGTACAAACTCTCTGGGGGGCGGACTGAGAGTGTCTATCAAATCTGCAAACATCCAGAGCCTTCGACCCAGTGAGTGAGTCTATCCTACAGGTATGTCTCACAGGCGTGCAGACACACGGGCAGGGTGCCGCCCCCAGCGCTCTCCGTAACAGCGAAAGGCTGGACACAAATCTGTCCACCAGCACCAGAAGGGTAAGCACAGCATGAGCAGGGCGGGCATCCAGGGAAGGGGCGTGTCAGCAGGTGTGTCAGGACAGACTGAGTGGGGAGGGGAGGCAGCAGGGGTAGGATGTGGCTATCTGCCACCATTTGTGTAAAAAGGGGGGTAGATCCACCTTTGGTTGTTGACATAGGGGACACTTCTGTGGTTGGCAGCACCGTTTGCTCCCAGGGAAAGGAACACTGTGGCCGAAGGTCAGGCGTGAAAAGCCACCTTGTGAATGTGATCTCAGAAACATATTCTACCGATAGTGAGAGGCTGCAGTGCTACCCCAGGAGCCTGCTGGCAAGAGCAGTGCAGATGCTGGGATGGGCTCAGACCCCCACTGGAGCTGGTCCCGGAGCTCTGCTCTCCCTGCCGGGCAGAGTGGCTTCCTCCCGCTGCTGCTGCTGTCGCTGTCAGCTGGGTCCCCTCCATGGAGCCGGGTCCCTCCCACGGAGTCAGCTGATTTGTGTTCCCTGTGGGAGCTGCAGAGTCCCACCAGGCCTGAGCCCTGCCCTGTCCATCTTTAACCCTCACGGCAGCCCCAGCTGCTGGAGTGGAGCTGTATGCGTCTGGCTAAGAGCAGTGCAGAAAAGCCCCAGCTTCTACCGAGGCACCAGCTCCGAGGCCAGGCAGCGCACACCACAGGGAGGGGCCCTGGGTCAGAAACTGCAGCTCAGATCGGGGGCCAGCCTCTGCTTCGGGAGGGGATGGGGGTCTACGGAGATCCTGCTAAGCCTGAGGGGCAGCCTGCTCTCACCCTCACCAACTCTTAGCAAGACAGAATGAGGAGCCCTCCTTGTAGGGTTATGTGATGGCCTGAGGAGCTTCAGGTCGGGAATTGGATGCAAAGTGTCTCAATTTTGAAATGAATGAATCCAAGGCCAACAGCAATGATGTCAACAATAATGTAAGTGAACCAGCCCCTCAGCCGGCTGGGTCAGGCTAATCTCTTCCCCCTCCCACCCCCACACCCATGGCCTGTTCCAGGGAGGCTGGAAGTAAATTCACATTCACACCCCCATCCAACCCCCACCCCACTGGCTGCTGGTGTGGGGGGAGGGGCGGGCCTCACTTAGAGAGCGTGGGAGAGCCCAGCCAAGAGAAGAGCCCCTCCCCCAGAACTGGGGCTGAAGTCTGGGCGCGATTCCCACTCTGAAGGAAGCATGACAGGTAGGAAGGATCAGGGGCACTAAATTCCACCACGGCCGTGGAGGCCCGAGGACCCCCCTGGGGCGGGGCGTTTCCTTCCAGTGCTGCACCCATGGGACCCACGTGGCAGTGGTCTGTGGGGACTGCCTGTGGGCGGGCCAGCCTCTCCATGCCCAGGTCTCCAGGCCCCCTTTTCGGGCTTACACCCCAAGGTGTGCTCACGGCTCCGGCCACCCTTGTGGCGGGGTCTCTCTGGCAGCAGTAGTCGTGGGAATGAAGGATGGATTCTGGAGTTCCCCCCAGTCCTCATGTCATGTTCCAGCTACTCTGCTTTCAACAAATCATGGTGACCTCCAACTTTATTTAACTTAACGATGCTGTCCCTGAAAATCTCACCCAGATTTAACGACACCTGAGCTGACATTGGATCGAGAATTAAGAATGACGGAACTGCCAAAACCGGTTTGGCTCAATGGATAGAGTGTCGGCTTGGGGACTGAAGGGTCCCGGGTTCGATTCCAGTCAAGGGCATGTACCTTGGTTGCGGGCACATCCCCAGTAGGGGGTGTGCAAGAGGCACCTGATCGATGACTCTCTCTCATCGATGTTTCTAACTCTCTATCTCTCTCCCTTCCTATCTGTACAAAATCAATAAAATATATTAAGGTGGTGGGGTGAGCATCTTCTCTAGTGTCCAGTGGGAATCTGGAAGGCAAGGGGCTGGCCTGTGGCCCTGGAGCAAGCCCTGAAGGAGCACTAGCTGTGTTGAGGGGGAAGCCAAGGAGGGTAAGGCCTCATCCCTCAGTGGCTTCTGCCACCCTGTGGGGACCTGGTCCCTGGATGGACTGGCCCGGGGCCCCAGGATGGCTGTTCCTGCCTCTGTCAAGGCCCAGCTCTCCCAGGGGGGGTTCCTCTGCCTCCTCAGAGCCCTGCGCCCCCCGATGGGCGTCCCTGGAACTGCACTGGCTGCCCCCCAGGGGGCAGTGGCAATGAATGACTCCTGCAATGCCTGGGGAGCCCTCACCCTGTGCCCTGCCAGGCGCCCTGCCAGGAGCTTCGAAGGGATTCTCAATCATCCGTCATCCTCCCAGCTGCCCCACGGGCTGGGTCACACTGGCCTCGTCTGTTCTATGGATGCGGAGGGTCGCCCAGATACAGTGTTTGAATGCAGAGGGTGACAGCAGAGCTCACACCCTCACCCTCAACCCCCTGCTGGCTGCTCAGCGGACACCTGCTCGTGCCCGTGCCACTTGGGTGGTGCGCGGGGGGCACACTTGGCTAGTCCTTCCCAGCACGCCGTGCACGTGCATTTGTAATGTGCTCCTCCTGACTGTGCATTTCCCAGTTCTCTCCTGCTCTTTCCCCGGGCCTGGCACAGCGTGGGCACCTGAGGGGCTCAGTGTTTCCCGGGGGGATGACTGGAGGCTGGAAACAGCGGGTACAGTCTCTGCCCTCCGCTTCACAGCCTCGTGAGGAAGGACTACAAGAGATAAGTAGCGGCAGTACTTAGGAAGGAATCTGCCACGGGGTGAGCCTGGGTGCGGGGCTACGTGAAGGGGAGGACCTGGGAGGGGGTGATATTAGGGGTCTAGGGGTCAAGGAGTCAAGGGTCAAGGCGGTGGGGGAGGTGGAGGTGAAGGGCAGGGAGGGAAGGGGCTTGGGGTCTAAGAGTGCGGTGCCCGGCCAGCTGGGGAAGGTGCTGCTCTGTGGCCAGGATCACAGTCAGGGAGCAAACAGCACTGAGGCCAGAGGGGACCTGCTGGCACCCAGGGGGAGGGGGCACGGAGCATCTGGCCCGGGACTCTCAGGGTGAGCCATTCGCTGCAGCTCGGAGAACACACAGGAGGAGCACACAGCGAACTCAGCCACCCCGGAAGCCCCGCAGTGACCAGAGGGCATGCTGGTGGCTCGGAGCAGCGCAGCCAAGTGGAGAAGCAGAGAAATGCGGACAGACTTCTCTGACAGACTTCACATTACCATGAAGCTAGCTCAGCGACTGTCCTTTGGGGTGGCTGCCCCTCCCCTTTCCCAGGACACCTGGCGACCTGGAGGCATTTTTGGTGGTCACACCTGGGGGAGGGGGGGAGCAGTTGGTGCTGGCACCTGTCGGGGAGAGGCCAGGGGTGCTGGTAAACACTCTACAATACGCAGGGTGACTCTGCACCCTCCAGCCCCCCTCCGGCCTGAGGATGTGAGGGGCGTCTGGGTGAACGGAGCCAGCAGACCCAGGTCAAGTCCGGGGCTCTGTCTGTCCTCCACCCTCAGTTTCCCCAGCAATTATCCCCCAGGGTTGAGTGTTTACCTAAAACCCTGGGGTGTTGGTTACAACGCAAACCTTCCAGCCGGGCCCTGAGAGATGGACTCAGGTGTCAGGCCCCACGGAGGGACCCTGCATGGTGACACGTCCCGAAGAGCCTCAGGCATCGGCCTCACTCGCAGCCTGGCTCCCGAGAAGTGGGAAGGGCTGAGTTCGGTGGGCAGGAAGCGGGAGGGAAGGCCCGGGCAGAGATGGGCAAGGTGTGCTGGCCAGGAGATCCTGGTCCCAGCCCCGCCCCACCCTCGCTGCCAGAGCCCGAGGCCCAGCTCCAAGGGGCACTGCAGGGAACGGCCATCTGCCGGCCTGGGCACGGCCACCAAAGGCCCGTCAGGCAACGCAGGGAGGCCTCATTCCGCTTTCCGCTCTTCATCTGTCCTTCTCTCCCCTTCCACAATTCCAATGCCCCCGTTATTCTCCTCCCTCTCTCCCCCACTTCTGGAAACTTTCGGGAGCTCCGCTTTGCTCCAGCACTCCAGGCATTCTGTGGCAATTCGATGATTTGCCTTGAAGTCTGTCCCTGCCCTGCCCCATCGGCTCCAGCAGCAAGAAAGCTGCTGCCAACCTGTCCATTCGGGCTGAGCCACCCTGCCCGCCCAGGAGGCAATGCCCACTGCAGGGGGGGGGGACGCGGGGTGGCAGGGGAGTGGCGGATTGGGGGGGAGCTAACAGCACAGGTCTGGAATCCCAATGGCTCCCAGCTGTGTGGCCTTGGGCGGGATGTGTTTATTCCTCTGTTTCCTCATCTGTAAACGGGGTGGTGAGAATATGACCGTGCACTGAGCACTTACCATGTGCCAGGCCTGTTTTAAGTGCTTTCCGCGTGCGGGCTCAGTCCTCATGCCATCCCTGGGGCACAGATCCCCACCCCCTCCCCGCCGCACAGATGTGGGCGCAGACACGAAGACACAGGGGACCCTGCCCCAGGCCTGCACCGCACACTCCGGCTGCAGAGCCCAGGTTCACGGTCACTGTCACTGCATGACACAGTGCGTGGAGTGTGGAGTGAGCCGCTCGGAGCACCGCGTGTGCGTTAGAAACTCACACAAGAGTGGCAGCAGTGATTGCTCTTATTGTTTGCCTAACGGTTTCTCCTTTCAAGCAGGACTGCCAGCCCGCGTGAGCCGGGGCGTGCACCCGCTCTCAGAGTCACCTCGGCAGGGGCGGGGGCGGCCAGAATGCTCAGGCGTGTGCGTGACGGAGCCGGAGAGAGAGTCCCTGGCCCCAGCTCTGCTGTGCTTGTCTCAAAATGGCACAGCGGGGACCACACTTCTCAGGTCTCCGAGGCCTTGGCTGTTTGAGTTCCTGGGCACCTCACCTGCCCACCTGCAGGGGGCACTGCTGGCCAGCGCCCCCATCCCCAGGCCCAGGGCTGATGGGATGCTGCACGTGGGGCATGCAGCTGTGGAAAAGGCCCTGGGAGGCTGTGGGGCCACTCCAGGGGGAAGCCGATTGCTTCCTGCCAGGAGCTCCCGGGAACTCTATTCTTAGGGCTCTTTCCCTGGCTTTTAACTCTGACATCTCCCAGAAGTTACCCGGCACAGACGCAACCCCACCACGGCTATAATTTGCATGTCACGCCGCTTGCACAGAGCGTGGCGGTCCACCCCCTCACCCCCAACCGCCCACCCTGCAGAAATGGCTCCTGCCTCATCCAGTCTCCGTCCTTCCCCTTGCTCCCCCAGAGAGAGATGTGAGGTGTGACATCCACGCAAGGTGGGGGGGGACCCACGGGGAACACTGGCTGCAACCGAGCTCCGGAACTTCCCAGCTCCAGGCTGGGCATCGCTTCCATGCTCTGTCCACGTCGTCATGGCAACAGCCCATCCTTGGCCGACAGCCCCAGTTTGCCGCGCAGCAGCCAGAGAGCGCTCGGAGGGAGCCACTTACCGTGATGGTGTTCTCCTTGCTCTGCTTTCTGCCCGGTGACGAGGACCCCAGGTTCTGGAGGGAGAGGCAAGAAGCATCGTCAGAGCTGTCCTCCATCCTGGATTGGCTCTCACCAGGGTCCCCTGTCGGCGGCGGGTTGGTGACAAGCCGTAGGCTGGGAAGTTCGGATGCTCAGCCTGCCACTGATCCTAGGTCACCATAGTCTGGGAGAGGCAGGCGGGAGCACCCTGACCCCACTCTGCTCCGGTCCCTTGTGCCCGTGCGAGGCCGGAGGGCTGGGGGGAACAGCTCCAAACCCGGGGGCCTCCTCTCCTCTGCGATGTGGGAGTTAACCCTCCGCTGCCCTCTGCTGGCGAGCGGCTCCGCGTGCGCGTGCTGCCTGCACCTGCAGAAGCCACTGGGGAGCAGGGGGTTAAGCGGAAGGCAGGCTGCAGGCCACCACCTCCAGGGGATGCAGAGAGAGCAACAGCTTCATCTGGAACTGGTGGACGAGCGGGAAACCCTCTATTCATCCTGTCACGTGCCCCGGGGCTCAGCCACCTGCCTGCCGCCCCTCAGCCCCGGAGCAGCACGGACCTCAGCCGAAAGCCGCAGGTCAGCCTTCACGCAGACTTCAGATTGCCTGTTATGTCTTCCCGCTGCCGGCAGCAAAACCACTGTCCCAGCGCCTCCGAGCCCGCGGTCCTCAGCAGCGCCCGCCAGGACGGTTCGGGTGGGAACCTGAGGAGGGCTGGCTGAAAACGCCACGCTGGCGGCCAGAGCCGAGGAACCCAGGGGAAGGTCAGCTCCGGGTCTCGCTGTCGCACTCCCGGCAGTGACATCAGGGTCTCCGGCAGGACTGTGGCGCCCACTCCCGTCCCGAGCCACGCCCGTCCTGGCACAGGCTCACCCCCAAGGCACGCGTGTGGCCGGCATGTGAAAGTCCCTATCCTTTCTCTGGTGGAGCGTGAGGAAGTGGCTGTCAGATTTCACAGATCAAGTCCCTCAGAAGGCCTGGAGGGGTTTCTCCTGCAAGCCTCTGGGACCGAGGACCCCCCACCCCAGGGGCAAGAATGACTCCTGAGGAGATGACAGTCCCCCACCCCCGGGCGGGAATGACTTCTGGGGGGACGGAGCGGGTCCAGCCCGCCTCAGGGGCTTCTCTGCTAACCGGGCAACACAGGCAGCTGCCTGAGTCCCTGCCTACGGTGTCCTCGGCCCCTCCCTCCCTCCCAGACCTACTCTGGCTGGTGACTAAAGTCAGCCAATAAAGCCAATCCATTAAGACGTCCAGATAAAAAGGGCCCCACGGATCATCCCCCTCACAGACTAGAAAGGGAACTCAGTCATCTCCATGTCCTGCCAAGTCCCATGACTTCTTTGAGTCTCAGTTTCACCATTTGTTACCACAGTCCTCCGGTTTTGGGTGCAACAGAGTTAACTGAGGATGTGCCCCAATTCGAGCTCTAGCCGTGCCTCCCAGGGCTCCCGGCCCCCAGGGCCCTGACCCGCAGGCCCGGGCGGGCTAGCCCCTCCTTGGGAGGCGCCCGGTCTACATCCACTTCTATGTTCAGGTGCCCCACTTCTGGCAGCTGCTCCGGCAGCCCCCCCAGACCTGGGGCAACAGCATGCTGGGGACCAACCAGCTTCTGCCAATGTTTTTAATGGCTCCACTCATCCAGCTCCCCCACCTGACCCTCCCAAGTTATCAGTTCTGCCCCCGGGCGCTTGCCCACACGGGGCTGCCCAGGAGGAAGGCACGGCGGGCACCCAGGGGCCATTCTCCAAGGAGAGGGGACAGGCGCAGGGTCCTCTCGAGGCTCAGGCCACGCGAACACAGCCCACCCTTGACCAACACGGACTTGTCTGCATGGGTCCACCTGCACATCGATGCTGTTTTTTTCAATAAATACAAGGTCTGCCCTCCTTTATCCCAGGCCCCACGTCCTCAGGTTCATGCAGTATGTCTCCTCTGTGGCTGGGAACCCACGATACAAATGCAGGTGAGCTGTGTGCACCTGCGGCCGCGGCTCTGTGCCACATTATAGAAGGGACTCGCATAGGCGAGGATTCTAGTAACCTCTGGGCTCCTGGATGCAATCCCCGAGGACACCGGCGGGCAGTAAAGTCTGCGGGGAGTTCACAGTTACTGTGGAATCCCTGACTGTGCAGGGATTCACCGCCCAGACTCCCCCCACCCCCTGCATTGTTCAGGGTGAACTGTCCCCGAGGGAGAAGGCGGAAGGGGTCTCTAGGACAGTTCTGCAGCTTGCAGGGTCTCTGTTGTTGGCACTCCGCGCTCTCACTCAAGCCACCAGAGGGCAGCAGAGCAGCTCCGGCACCCCTGTGGCCACAGCCTGCCGTCAGTCTCCATGCTGAAGGGATGGCGATGAGGAGAGGACGAGGGGCAAAGCATGGGGGACACCAGCAAGTTCGAGGCACCACCTGCGCTTTACAAATAGTGACACGGAGGCTGGCAGAAACCAACTGCTTGTCTGGGGCCCCAAAGGCAAGGAAGCAGAGGACATCGGAAGCCAAACCTGACTAACCCTCTGTCTCCCACCGTCTCTCCCCCTGAGCCTGGAGCCACCTCTTGCTTTCCAGGCGTCTGCAGGGGTCAGGAGAGATCCCATCGTCCACAAGCAGTGCTTTTGGAATCCCTGTGTCCAGCCTCTGTGGACTGGGCTGGACACAGAGGTCACGTGCTCCCATGACTTGAGCCAGAACAGGAGGGCAAATACTGGCATGAGGGGCGAAGGGGAAGGCGGTGCTGTAAGTGTGGGCGTCAGCACCTTCCCATCTCTGTCCTGAGCTGGGCACTTCAGCCAGTGCTGAGCGGGGTCTCCGGCTCTCTGGCCTGGTCTCCGGTTCTGAGCTTGCAGCTGATGACTATTGTTCCAATGTCATATACGTATACATAAAAACATGTTGTATACATACATGATATACATTTGCATGTAAAGTACACACACACACACACACACACACACAGTCCCTGCAGCATTCCCCTGAAAGGACCCAGAAGTCACATTGAGAACCCCTAGTAGCAAGGGGTTGGATTTCTTTCTTTAAAAAAAAAAAAAAAAATATATATATATATATATATATATATATATATTATTGAATTTTTACAGAGAGGAAGAGAGATGGATAGAGAGTTAGAAACATCCATCAGCTGCCTCCTGCACACCCCTCACTGGGGATATGCCTGCAACTAAGGTACATGCTCTTGACTGGAATCGAACCTGGGATCCTTCAGTCCGCAGGCTGACGCTCTATCCACTGAGCCAAACCGGTTTTGGCAGAGGGGTTGTATAAATGCTATTCCCACTAAAGGAACTTCCTTGGGAAGTGGCCGATTCCAAAGGTCCAGGCCGACCGGGAACACCTTATTCAAAAAATGGTGTGCTACCACAAAGGGGACGGAAGCCAGCTCACAGGGGCTCAGCAAGCCAGATTTGGTACCATTTGAATATGAACAGGAACAACGAACACATATGATGAACCCCCAAAGTGGTGATATCAGGGAGAGGGGAGGGCAGCAATCTCCACAGAAAAATGTATCAAGAACGAGCAAATCGCCAATTTGCAAACCCCGATGTCAAAACAGACGCAGGCCTGGCTCGTCAAGGACGCCCAGAGCGCTGGGTGAAGACCGTCAGGGACCGGAGACCCACACAGTCTCAGCCTGGCACCCCGCTGATGGTGACAAGTTACCAAGGAGAAGGTGCCCCTGGAAGGAGAAATGTGGTCATCTCCATGCTAAGCGAGAGCTCACACTCAGCACCTCCATGGGTGTGACCTGGGAGCGTGCACTCCGGACGTACACGGTGAGGAGCACACAGCACCCCCAGGTGGCATTCCTGGCCCAGCGGTTGAGCCTGGGCCGAAGCATAAGAAAACAATTAGACCAAGAATGCAGGTCCTTCTGCAAGACAACTGGCTTGGACGCCTTCCCCAAAAAGGCAACGTGAGGAAAGATGATAGAACAAATGTGTAGGAAGCCGAGACCGGTTTGGCTCAATGGATTGAGCGTCGGCTTGGGGACTGAAAGGTCCTGGGTTCTATTCCGGTCAAGGGCATGTACCTTGGTTGCGGGCCCATCCCCAGTAGGAGGTGTGCAAGAGGCAGCTGACCAATGACTCTCTCTCTCATCGATGTCTAACTCTGTATCTCTCAACTCTGTATCTCCCTTCCTCTCTGTACAAAATCAATAAAATATATTTTAAAGAAAAGAACAATGCATAGGAAGTATAAGAGAGACTGAAGTGATAGCTTAGACAGAACAGTGCCTCCATGCAATGGAAGACTATGTGGCTATTTTAAAAAAAGAACCAAGGCCTGACACATGCTACATTAATGGACGGTGAAGTGCTATGAAAGCAGCCAGGCACAGAAGACCATATGGTATGGTTCCAGGCAATCCTGTGGAGACAGGAAGTAGCTTAGTGGTTGCCTAAGGCTTACAGGGGATTCTATTTGGGGTGATGAAATATTCTAAAATTCATCAGCATGATGATGGTGCACCTTTGTGACTATTGCACACTAAAACCCAGTGCGTTGTACACTTAAAATGGGTGAATTATGTGACATGTAAATTATATTTCAATAAGGATGTCTTAGAAAGAGAAACTAAAGAGCCAGGGCAACCAATATACTCAGGCGTGAGACCTGAATGGAGCCTGGATTGCGGAGAAAAGCGGGGATAAACGTCGTTTTGAGGACAACGGTGGATCTGAATGTGGATTACATGCGTCAGGTGATGTGACTGAATTAGTGTGTCCCTAAGCGTGTTATTGGTGTTGGGGCTATGTCTTCCCCTTTGGACACATTATAGAACGTCTACAGTTAATATGTGAGGAATTTGCTTTACAATAATCCCTGTGGGGCCAGGGGGAAGGACTGGGAAAACGGATGAAACAGCACTGGCGGAATAACTGTCGAAGGTGGGCCTGTGGCCCTTTCTGGTAGCCATCCTTCTGCTTCTATAAATGTTGGCAAATGTCCGTAGCAAGTGTGTGTTTTTTTTTTTTTTTTGCTTTTTAGTTTCCTTTGCCTATGATTCTGGAAAGTTT